CCCGCCTACCTGCGTGACCGCATTTCTGTGTAGGAACCCATGTGATCTCTTTGATCATCTGGAGGGGTCCTGCTTGCGCTCCCTCCTCCTTCGCAGGTGTGATTGGTGGGGATGAGGGAGAGGGCCTTCTCTGTGGTGGCCCCCCAATTCTGGAACTCACTTCCTAAGGATATCAGGCAAGTCCCCACATTGGCAGTCTTTAGGAGGAGCCTGAAAATGTGGCTGTTCCTGTGTGCCTTCCCTGATTAAGGAAATAATCCCCAGCAAAATGTCCTCAGAAGCACTTTAACTTCTCATAGAATCATAGAATCAAAGAGTTGGAAGAGACCTCATGGGCCATCCAGTCCAACCCCTGCCAAGAAGCAGGAATATTGCATTCAAATCACCCCTGACAGATGGCCATCCAGCCTCTGTTTAAAAGCTTCCAAAGAAGGAGCCTCCACCACACTCCAGGGCAGAGAGTTCCACTGCTGAATGGCTCCTCACAGTCAGGAAGTTCTTCCTCATGTTCAGATGGAATCTCCTCTCTTGTAGTTTGAAGCCATTGTTCCATTGCGTCCTAGTCTCCAAGGAAGCAGAAAACACGCTTGCTCCCTCCTCCCTGTGGCTTCCTCTCACATATTTATACATGGCTATCATATCTCCTCTCAGCCTTCTCTTCTTCAGGCTAAACATGCCCAGTTCCCTAAGCCGCTCCTCATAGGGCTTGTTCTCCAGACCCTTGATCATTTTATTCGCCCTCCTCTGGACACATTCCAGCTTGTCAATATCTCTCTTGAAATAATAATAATAATAATAATAATAATAATAAACTTTATTTGTACCCCGCTCCATCTCCCCGATGGGGACTCGGTGCGGGCTTACATGAGGTCAAGCCCAAAACAACAATTACATAAAATAAAACAAAACCGAAAATGCAAATAATAACTCAATTACATAAAACAAAAGATAATATAGCAATATAAAATTACAATAAACACAATCACGGTAACATGGGTGAGCTACATGTAATGGATAAAAGAAAATTGGGTACAAACAGATTAAAAGCCGCTCCGAGTCCCCTTGGGGAGATGGTGGTGGGGTATAAATAAATTATTATTATTATTATTATTATTATTATTATTATTATTAAGAGATCGGGGTGTTGCTTGATGCTGGTTACTCAATCATTGGTTGCCTGTCTTTGGTGAGTTTCCAGGAAGTTAAAAGAACACTACTGTAGTAAATGTGCACTGCACACATATAGTGTGGGTCCTTGGCACATTGTAAACAAATAATTACCAGTCCCATACATCAGAAGGTTTTGGAAGTACTGATCTAAAGGGATTGTGAATCTGTACAGTGAACAACAGAGATTCCTATGAGATGCATGGTTTACCAACCACAAGGTACAGCTACACTGTTGAGTTAATGCAATTGGACACCACGCTAACTGCCATGGCTCAATTCTATGGAATCATGGGCATTGGAGTTGTTTTGCTTGCTTTCTTGCATGCTGGTCACTTCTGTGGCGAGAGAATCTACGAAGACGTTGCCCAGGGGACACCCGGATGTCTTGCAATCCTGCGAGGAGGCTTCTCTCAATGTAATATAATGGACTGGTTACTCTGACACGACAAATAAATGGGCATTGGAATTGGACAGAGCACTCTGTGGTCAAGACTTTGTAAAGCTCCAGCTCCCATGATTCCATAGCATTGAGTTATGGCAGTTAGGGTGGTTTCAATCTGCAATAACCCACAATTGCAATGGTGCCTTCACTGACCAAAGACAAAAGAAAGCATGCTAAATGCAAGGTATGTTGGTGAGGGAAATCAGGTGACAGATGTCTTTCACCTCTTGGGGGAGCGCCTGTTATAAAAATGGACTACACATTTCACCTAGTTTGACTAATGTATTCTTCCCTTCCTCCATTGTCATACAGTCCAACCCACAATAATAAGGAAGCAGGAGAACTTGCTGGACTGTGCAGATAGCTATGGGACTCCTTTTCTACTCAGCTTGAAACAGCAGAAGAAATGAAGATGAAGAGTGCAATGTGGGCAGATATACTGGTTACAGTACATCCCAAGAAAACTGGTTTCTCTGGTCCCCAACATCTTTGGCCAAAAAGTTTGCCTAAGATCCAATCATGACTTCTCATACAGTCAGTGGGTGGCTTTGAATCAGTTGCTATCCTTTGGGTTTTCAATTAAATGTAAAGATAAGGAACTCTTATCTATTTAAGTGCCAAGGTTGTTTTGAAGATGAATATGATAAGACACAGCTACCTTGAAAATTAAAATTGCTTTGCTAACCAACAACAACAACAGCAATTTTTATTGATTAGCCAATTGGCCTTATCAAAAACAAACAGTGCAGACACAACATACAACATACATCTAGCTCTCTTAAAATAAAATACAAATATACAGGTAGCCATAGATATATGCATCAACTATCCTCGTCTCCCCTACACTGCACCCGAATCTGATCTATGTACTCCGATTAATGCCAATGTTAGAGGCATTCGAAATTTGATACTGGAAACAGGTTCCTAAAGTTTGTCACAAAATCAAATGTTTCAACATTTGTTATTTTTCTTTCTCATATATTGACTATATGTTTATTATAAAATAAGCTTCATATGCTCAAAGTGCCTATTCCTAGTTAATTGTGTGGAGGACCACAGGTTTATATAGGTGCATTGAATTTAATCAACTGGATGCATAGCATGTAGATTCGTAGATATGTAACAAAGACAAGTATTACTGTGGCAAGATCCAGTTTCTCTAGGAATTGGCACAATTGGTCACTGCTGATACCTGAGCTTTCAGGTTCAGAGCTGAATCCAGGAGTACTTCCAAACAGTGAACCTGTGTTTTCAGAGTGAAAACACATTACATGATGCATAAGAACCTTATTTTTCTATCCCATCTCCATCTCCCCAAAGGGACTTGGGGTGGCTTACATGGGGTCAAGCCCATGAAAAATACAATTTAAAAAAAGAGCAATAACAAATTACAAATTAAAATAGCAGAAAACAGCATAACAATAATACACAAGCATCAAGCAACAACAGACTAATTTTGGAGGGGGGGCAATATGTGAACTGGTTAAAGGGTAAATGGTTCAATAAGGTGGATAGAAATGTGTAATAGCATAGGAAATAGCATGGAAACAGAGCAATGAAACAGGATCAGGATTGGTTCAGCTTTACTTACAAATATGAATAGTAATGTAATATAGGAATTCAGATTGAATCATGATTCAAGTCACAATACAAGTTGTTTGCCATAGGAGACGTCAGTCAAATGCACGATGAAACAGCCACGTCTTTAATTTCTTGCGTAATGTGGCTAGGGAGGGTGCCAGCCTAATCTCCCTAGGGAGGGAGTTCCAGAGATGAGGGGCCACCACCAAGAATGCCCTTTCCTTTGTCCCCACCAACCGTGCCTGAGACGGGGGTGGGAGCGAGAGATGGTCATCCCTGGAAGATCTTAAGGACCACGTGGGCTCGTAGGGGAGGATACGGTCACATAGATAGGCAGGCCCTGAACCATTTAGAGCTTTGTAGGTAATAACCTGCACCTTGAATTGTGACTGGAACTTATTGGCAGCCAGTGGAGCTGTTTAAACAGGGGGGTTGACCGCTCCCTGTAACTTGCTCGTTTACTACACTTGGAGGACCATTATGCACATAGACCATAATGACGGATCTCCAGTTAACAATCTGTTCCAGTTAACAATCTGGCCGCCGACCTTTGCACCTGTTGTGGTTTCCGAGCCATCTTCAAGGGCAGCCCTACGTAGAGTACATTACAGTAGTCCAATCTTGAGGTAACTGAGGTGTGGACCACAATGGTTAAGTCAGAGTTCTCGAGGTACAGTTGCAACTGGTGCGCAAGATTTAACTGTGCAAAGGCCCTCCCAGTCACCGTCGACACCTGAGCATCTAGCGTCCAGTAGGACCCCCAAACTACGGACCTGTGTCTTCAGGGGGAGTGTAACCCCGTCAAACACAGGTTGCTACCCTATACCTCGTTTGGCTGAGCCACTGACCTGGAGGAAAGCAAGCAGTGCATGATGGGGAAAGGAGCCCGTCTGATGTGACATACCGCAGTAACACAGGAGCTTTCCCGTGTTACCTTCAGGACAATGGGGGGAAGCCAAGAGGCAACACTTGTCCCCATGTGATGAGGTCACCGGTAAGTCAGGTGATCCGGGCATGGAGCAACAGGTTCTCCACACACACACATACACACACACTCCACTGAGACCTCATGGATTCTCCACAATGCATGGCAAACTCATGGACCTTTGCGGTGAGGCTCTGAATCCAAATACTGGACAGATACTGCTGATATATTGTCTTTCCCATTGGTGTACACGAGATTGTGGACAAGAGCTGAGGTGGCGATAAAGAATAAAGCTCAGTGAAGAATACTAATTTGATATTTTTAAAATCCCAGTTTAGTTCTGACTTTAAAACTGAAAAACAACTACTCATAGAAACATCATTGTTTCTTGTATTGTCGAAGGCTTTCATGGCTGAAATCACTGATTTGTTGTAGGCTTTTTGGGATATATGGCCATGTTCTAGAAGCATTCTCTCCTGACGTTTCGCCTGCATCTATGGCAAGCATCCTCAGGGGTTGTTAGACCACAAAACCTCTGAGGATGCTTGCCAATAGATGCAGGTGAAATGTCAGGAGAGAATGCTTCTGTTCTGTATGTTCTTATTTCAAGATTTAATCTGCTGTGTGGATCAGCATTTGCCTATCCCTTGCATTGCATTCTTTCTCTACCCCCCCCCCCCCAACCGAACTTTATAGCCACTGGCTATTAATTTGGATTGTCAAAAATATAAGGAACAGGAGGCCAAAGCATTTTGGAGAGCTGTTGGAGTGGCTAAACCTCCACAAGGTATGTCAAAGCTTGTCCTTGATTCATAATGTCTGTCATGGTGAGAATAATGGGGGTTCTTTTTTATGACTAATCCCAATATGAATTTTACTCACCTGGCTGGTGGAGAGGATAAATCGATTGCTTGTCAAGTATGTCTCATCAGTAAATATGTCTGGCAGTTCCTTGAAGTGCTCGCGGGCCATCTCTCGCAGTCCCAACAAGTGATTGTCTATTGCCATTCCTGTAATAGTCTAGGAACCACAGAATGGATTGGGGTGTCATTCAACATGTGCAGATTGGCAGGTGTGCCCTGCAGTTCTTGGTTAGAAGGAGAAGACATAGTGATATGGACAGCAATGTCAGTGTTTAGAGGGGCAGATGAACTGAATGCTGCCCAAGGGAAATGGCTCTTCTCTTTAAGCAGAGGAATGATGAAGAGGGCAAGGAATAAATAACCTTTCACGGCTCATTACGAAAACACTGTGCCCTGGACACTAATGTTGCTCCATGTTCAGCAGTGCATATATTCTATGAGTTGTGAGGAAGGATCATAAAATCTGGACGTGGTCACCATGGCTCCCCTCCCCCATCAAGAAGAATGGACCGGAGGATCAATGGAAATATTTTGCTATCCAACATGATTTATAAGGCTCTTAGCAATGACATTTTTCCAACTTAGATTAATGTCATGTCTGAAGAGAAAGAGACTGAGATGGGCTAACGTAATAACGGGCGAGTCAACGCATGGAAGAGAGAGAGAGAAAAAATACTAAAATTACATTTTTAAGGGCACAAGTTTAATCTAGCAATGCTAGATTTTGCTAACAAAGGCTATAATTTAATAATTGTAAACTGGTTTTACATGGTTTTTGTGGTTGTTTTTAATAAAGAAAGTTGGTTATTATTTTTTATTCTTGGGTTGAAAGTTATTTGGCTTAGGATTTCTAAGCAACCAGAGAGAAAATCTGATCCAGCTTGCCTGTTCTTGTGCTTTTAATAGATGATACCTTACAATTAGCAAACACGATCTACTAATGGTTGCAGATGCAATAGCTATTAAAGGCCTAACTGTATGACCAATTCAAAGGCTTTGAATCTTAAAGCTCTTCCAGATTGGTGCAACAACTGTCTTGTAAACTATCTGATACAGGAAAGCAGTAAATTTATGCCCAATGTGCCAGGACATGGTATTATACTTGTGCCCATTGATTATGATGATTTCTTATTTCCTAGAAATTCTCAAATGGCTAATGCATTGGCACCAGTCCATGGACCACCACTCTGAGTAGCACTGGTTTAAAGAAGCCTTTGTTCAGTACAGGTTGGGTATCGTTTATCTGGAATTGCAAAATCTGAAATACAATCCAGTCTCCACACCTGATGGACCTGCAAAATTCCTGGGATTGTGGCGCAGCTGACTGAGTGTCAGCTGCATTAAGATCACTCTGACCAAAAGATCATGAGTTCGAAGCCAGCCCGGGTTGGAGTGGGTTTCCAACCAATTGTGTGTAGCATGTTGTCGACCTTTGCAACCCGAAAGACAGTTGCATCTGTCAAGTAGGAAAATTAGGTACCACCTTAAAGTGTGGGAAGGCTAAATTAACTGATTTATGAGGCCATAAAGAAGACTCCAGCAAAAAGCATTCCAGTGGGGAAGCATGCGGGGAATGTGGAAGTGCTTCATCAGTGTCGCAGATGGACAATGAAAGTGACAGCTCCCCTGGCAGCCAGAAAAAGTTAAATAGCCTCTGTCTATGTCTGTATATGTTTGTATGTCAAAAATTGGCATTGAATGTTTGCCATATATGTGTACACTGTAATCCGCCCTGAGTCCCCTGCGGGGTGAGAAGGGCGGAATATAAAAGCAGTAAATAAATAAATCAATCAATAAATAAAAGTGGAAAACAAGTAATAAAGCCTGTTTTTAACACGAGACAACAACTCTCCAGGGGCCCATCCAGTCAGGCCCAAAATGTCAGACCAGTCTCTGTTTTTACTGGAGGAGTCTAAATGATGTCTCCGGTAAAACAAATTAATTCCTTGGTTTATTTCAAGTTAATTAAATGCCTCATTAAATCAGGGTCTGTGGGGACTGACTAATAAAGTATTGGGACTGTGGGGACTTTGAGTCAGTCTCCACAGCCATACCACATCTTTTGGGCTCCTGGAGCCCAAAGGTGCAGGAGGGCATCCATCCCCTCCTCCCAGCCAGAATTTGCCCCCTAAAACTTACCAAAAGATGTCCCTGGCCACCATAAAGCCTTTCCTCATTGCAAGGTAACAACTACAAAAACTTCCACATGGCTCTAAAAACACCTGAGGAGACTGGGGCAGGGGACGAGGAGGGATTTTCCTCCTCACCCCTCCCATCTCCTCAGGCATCATTTTTTCATGCCAGGAGTGTGTGAAGAGAGGCTTTATAGCAGCAAGATACCTTTTTAGTAAGTTTTATGGGAGAAATTGGGGCTTCAGGGTGGTTTCATACAATCCTGATTTCACTTGGGAGGGCAAACACCAGAAAGCCTGGGGTTTGGATGGGTGGGTGTACACTAGAACTTGTGCTGAAGTGGATTATTTTAATCCATTTTGGCATGGGTTTTAGAGCCATGTGGAAGAGCCCTAAGAATCTCTAGACCAGTGGTTCTCAACCTGTGGGTCCCCAGATGTTTTGGCCTTCAACTCCCAGAAATCCTAACAGCTGGTAAACTGGCTGGGATTTCTGGGAGTTGTAGGCCAAAACACCTGGGGACCCACAGGTTGAGAACCACTGCTCTAGACCCTCCAGTTTGACTTTATGGTCACCTTCTGTCAGATGCTGACCATAGAGTCACACTAGAGGACCTTCAATTGCCTACAGAAGTATTCTCCCATAGAATCTCTAGATCCTCCAGTTCAAGACTATGGTCAGCTTCAAGCAGAGCCATGTTGGAGGACCTAGAGATTCCCAGAGAACATAATAATGCATCAATGAATAACCAAATCTACAAAAGTGAAATTTGCAAATGAGGAAAGCCAACTGTACTCCAAAATGGTATATAGTCGTGGTTCAAGCACTGACACCTTTGTTTTCTAATGTTTTGGTGTACACTACCTGGAATCCCATATCTCTATCCAGGCATGTAGCCGGGGGGGGGGGGGGTTGAGGGGCTTCAGCCCCCCCCCCCGAAATTCTCATGGTGGTTCGCAAAAAGGCCTTACTGGTGCATTATTTAAACTGTTATGTTTATTCATATCATGATCTGATCACCATGCTCAATATATCCCATATGCATGGGGGTATTGGGGTAATGATACAAAAGGTTTGCTAGGGTAGACCCTCTTTCACTCGGACTCACCCCCCCCCAAAACAAAGTCGCCCCCCCCCCCCCGAATTGAAATCCTGGCTACGGGCCTGTCTCTAGCGTATCTCATTATGTAAGTATATGCAAATATAAGTATTCCAAAATAAAAAAAACCCTCTAAAATCCAAAATGCTTCAGGTTCCCAAATTTTGGATAAGTGATATCTAATGTTTATTATACGTAGGGTTTTGCCAAGTTTTTATAGTTGTTATCTTGCATCTTTTAAGGGCTGATCACAAAGAGTTGGAAGCGACTGAATGAATAAACGACAACATCAATCTTTTAGGAGCTATTTGTTACAATTTCTTAGATCTATATTAAGGCTCATCTAAAAAACATTTTTTAAAGGGATCTGCTTTGCTGAGGTGGCCCAATTTGAAAGGCAAATTTCTTATGCTTTGGATTTTTAAAAAACTTTCTCCCCTTCTACACTGCCATATAAAAACCAGATTATCTGACTTGAACTGGATTATATGTGTCTACACTGCCAGATAATCTGGGATAAGAAGATAGAAAACCCTATTTGCTATGAAATAGACCAGGTTAAGTGGAATGTTGTTTGGAATTTTTTAAAAATCTTGCAACCATTACCATTGCCTCCTAACTCATCTGCTCTGTTTGGAGAAGTTCTTAATTTACTTTCTGTGTTTATCTTGTCATCATTCACATCCAACAGACAAGCTATGCATATTTTAAAAAGTGAGCTTTTGGAAGTAATTAAGAAATACAAATGATCAAAGTTGACATGGAATTTATGATGTCTTCTGGCATTCCATTCCATTTTCTGCTGAAGAAAGTACTATTAATTACTTGTTGGTTTCAGTTCAACATCCTACCCTTAACTCCAAAGCACAAAGATTTGTCATCTGTTGATTTCCATGCGAAATGTAGAACCAAATAAATTATCTGACCATAACTGAGGGTGCATTATTATTGATTCTAAGCTTGTGTAGACTCAAGGACCTAAAGGCTCCAGAATAGAAGATTGTGTGGACATAATGGATAAGAACCACATATAAATATGGATATAAATATATCCAGATAGCTCTGCTTAGACATAGGATCTAATGAGTTCTAATCAATGAAGCTGATGAGGAGATATTGGGAAAATATAGAGATTTATTGATTGATCTATGCATAAAATCATATGTACCTTACAAACACTGAAATGCATAGAAACATCTCTCTCTCTGTGTAAGAAACCCAAGCTGACAAGCAGGCTACAGGAAGGAGGGCATGCATTCCAGAAGAGAGATAAGCCACAGGCTGGTACGAGAAGGCCCACTGTCTTCCCTCTAAGTAAGAAGCACTCCTGACATCTCAGAGAGGGCCTGTTGATTGATGAATGTAAGCACAGCCAAGAAGGAGGAGGACATTCCATGCTTGCTCTCCAGCAAGACACAGACATGCTTGCTCTTTAGAAACACAGACATGCTTTGCATGTTGGAGGTTGGAACCTGATATTCTTATGATGCTCAGATGACGTAGGGATGATGATGATTGTATGAAGATGTATGTACTAGCATGTTTCTTTGTTTGCCTGGACCTGGCATCTATAAAAGGGCAGTCCGCACCTTGATCGGGTGCTCTGGTTTTGCTTTTGGGACGCGAGTCCCACCAGAGTCGCCAGCTGGATAAATAAAGCCTTTTTTTTCATATCTCCAGAAAGGATGTCTCTTGGTATTATCTCTCCTTTCCTCAAAACCTATTTTCCTGCCATTTCAAAGCTACTAATTAAATCAGAAATTTACTAACAAAAAGTATCAACATTTATTTTTAAAACGATTGACAGGCTGAAACTAAACTGGAATTTTGCTAACAAAAAGGGGCAACATTTTTTAAGTGACATGATTGATTTAAACTGAAACCTCAGTATTAACTTAATTTCAGAATAAGTGAATGAATGAAACAGAAAGTAGTGATAAAGAGCCAGCCATTTCCTAGTTGTTTTCCCCCCTCAATGCTTATTTCTCCTCTATTCCCCGCACCCCTTCCTAAGGTGAAGAAGTGCAAGCTTTAGGTCACAAAATACATAGATATTAGGCTTGTTTGATTAAAAAAAATGGTTCAAAACTCATTTTGGATGTAGGGGGGTGCTGGTGGTTCAATTCTAAAGTCAATTCTGATTTTCACCGAAAAAAATGTTCAAAACTTTTTGAAACTTCTGAGACTTCCGAATCCTTCCTTAATGGTTTGAAAGTGTTATTTCCTGTTTCATTGGGTGGTCTTTACTTTGAAAGTAGTTGTTTTACTCTAGAAGGGGGGGAAGCAAAGGGAGGAAAGTAATCCACTCAGTTTTAAAATGCTTCCCAGGCTCATGCGAAGAGGCGAGGGAGGAAAGTCAGCCACTCGGTTTTAAAATGCTTCCCAGGCTCATGGGGAGAGGAGAGGGAGGATGCTTCCCTGAGCCGAGGCCAGGGACCAGAAACTGGGAAACGCTGAATCATTTCCGACTTACTTCGTAACAGAAATGATGGAAAAAACTTCCAGAAGGGCAAAGGGACTTCCAGTTTCCTTAAAAACTTTGAAATTACTTCTAAAAGCAAAACTTTCCGAATTTATTCCAAATTACAAAGATTCCGACTGAACCTAACCATGCCTAATAGATATAGATTAATGGTGGGAATCATGCAGCATCTCCCAGAAATTACTGGACTGCAAATCCCAGAAGTCTTGGCCAGTTTATCTGAAGGCAAATGCAACCACCTGGGACAGGCATGTGGCTGGGGGCTATAGGGGCTTCAGCCCCCCCCCTGAAATTCTCATGGTGGTCCGCGATAAGGCCTTACTGGTACATTATTTAAACTGTTATGTTTATTAATATCGTGATTTGATCACCATTCTCAATATATCCGATATGTATGGGGGTATTGGAGTAACGATACAAAAGGTTTGCTAGGGTAGACCCTCTTTCACCCAGACTCACCCCCCCCCCCTCCCCGAATCAAAATCCTGGCTATGGGCCTGACCTGGGAAAAAACATTCAATCCAATTAATAATTATTCTTAGGATTTTATCACACAATTATATATTCTGTTTTGTAGGCAACACATAGTCACCCTTAAGCAAAAGATCTGCAGACGGTATGTTTTCTAAAATGGGGAAACAATTGAATTCACTTGTCCATTCCTCCACATGTATCATAAGCATGGTATTTGACATGGGATGGTACACTCGTTTGCAGGTTGTTGTTAGCTCTGCCTCCATTAATAAATGTTTGCATGGCCAGAAGTGATTTAACAGACTGTGGGTTTTCCACTGAAAGAAGTGGATTAATAGATCGTGGGTTTTGCACGGTCAGGAGCGATTTAATATATCCTGGGTTTCCCATTTAATGAAACAGTTTAAAGACCATATGTGTCCTGTTTCTTTACATTTACTGTGTTTCCTCATTGTTGTAGTTACTAATTTGAATATTTTGAAAGTACTAGACCAGGGGTCCTCAAACCTTTTAAACTGAGGACCAGGTCACAGTCCCTCAAACTGTTGGAGGGCCGGATTATAATTTGAAAAAAAATGAATGAATTCCTACGCACACTGCGCATCTCTTATTTGTAATGCAAAAACACTTAAAAATAATACAATAATTAAAACGAAGAACAATTTTAACAAATATAAACTTATTAGTATTTTAATCGGAAGTGTGGGCCTGCTTTTGACTGATGAGACAGGATTGTTGTTGTTGTTGTTATTGTGTGCTTTCAAGTCATTTCAGACTTAGGCTGACCCTGAGCGAGGGCCGGGTAAATGACGTTGGAGGGTCGTATCTGGCCCCCGGGCCTTAGTTTGAGAACCCCTGTACTAGACTTTAAAAAAATTCAATTTAAAAAAAATTAGAAAATTTTGGAGCTTTGTAGCTCTGTAGGACCAAAAATATGTTTTTACATTTCTCCATTTGGAGAGAGGTCACAAACTTGCACAAACTTACCATTTGGAGAGAGGTCACAAACTTGCACAAACGTACATTTGGTCCGCCCATTGCGTTTGATTTCTCATTTTGTTACTTTGCACTGTTTTATTGTACCATATTGTACTTTTATGTTTTTACTTATTTTATTGTGATGTTATTTTGTCGTTCTGTATTTATTTTGCTGTAATGTATTACCGGGCTTGGCCTCATGTAAGCCACCCCGAGTCCCCTTTGGGGAGATGGTGGCGGGGTATAAATAAAGTTTATTATTATTATTATTATTATTGTGCAAGGTCTGCCAAAAAAAGAGAAGAAGAAAGAAAGAATAAGAAGGGAAGACAGTGAGGTTAGGAAACATGCCACATATTGGGAGGAATCATTCCTCTGCTATGGGATAAGTCAAAGATTTATTATTTTATTAGATATTATTATTATTATTATTATTATTATTATTATTATTATCATCATCATCATCTACATGGGGTTGTCTCTGAAGACTACCCAGAAGCTGCAATTAGTCCAACGTTCGGCAGCCAGATTACTAACAGGAGAGGGGTACAGGGAGCGTACAACTCCTTTGTTGCGCCAGCTCCACTGGCTGCCAATTAGCTTCCGAGCACAATTCAAAGTGCTGGTTTTAACCTACAAAACCCTATACGGTTCTGGCCCAGTTTACCTGTCTGAATGTATTCCCCCCTATGAACCATCAAGACAAGATCTTCTGGTGGGGCCCTGCTCTCAGTCCCGCCACTTTCACAATTGCGGCTGGTGGGAACGAGAGATAGGGCTTTTTCTGTGGTGGCCCCTCGGCTATGGAACTCTCTCCTGATTGAGATCAGATCTGCCCCCTCCCTCCTATCTTTCAGGAGGCTGGTGAAATCCTGGCCATGGAAGGAAGCATTCCCAGAGTAATGGTTGAGACCGGCTACAGAACAAAGTTATCGACCACACATACGGACTGAGTTGGACATAATTTTATCTTGGCGATTTGGCTTATTTGTAATTTTAATCTATATGTATTTTAACTTGTTATTATATGATGTTTTTAGATTGTACTATTAGCATTGAATCCTTGCTGTGAGCCGGTCTGAGTTCATCTACAGAGGTTAGAGAAGATCGAGATATAGAAGTTCTAAATAAATAAAATAAATACTGTATTTGTATACCGCCCTTCTCAGCCCTCAGGCAACTCAGGGCAGTTATGGGAAGAAGAGATGCAGGTGTGGTGGGTATGTATCCAGCATGTATCACATCTTTATCGGACCTTCTGAAACCATGGATTGCCTACATAAAAGGTATTTTCTATGATGTGTGTGATAAGGTCCTTAAACTTCATATTTCAAGGACAAAATATCTATGGAATTGTCGAAGGCTTTCATGGCTGGAATCACTAGGTTCTTGTGGGGTTTTTTGGGCTATAGGGCCATGTTCTAGAGGCATTTCTCCTGACGTTTCGCCTGCATGTATGGCAAGCATCCTCAGATAGATGCAGGCGAAACATCAGGAGAAATGCCTCTAGAACATGGCCCTATAGCCCGAAAAAACCCACAAGAACCTATCTATGGAATGTTATGAGTTCAAACTCAGGCTTTAAAAATTACTATATATTCAAACAAATCAAATTTAACTCAACTAACTGCAATATTTTGCCATGTCAGTATGATTTTGTGAGCACCACTTTGTGTTTTTAGAACATAGTAGAGATTCAGTACATTTCGGTAGCATCATGGTAGTGTTTGTGTAGGTTGGCTCTAAATTATTAGTAATGTACATGGGCACTTCATCTTAAAAGAGAGATCAACTCTCAGAAGGTTATTACAGTTGACCTAGGGATGTCAAATGAAAATAAATGGTTATTATTTTTCATTCAAGAATGCTCATATTTCATACTCAGCATTGTCTACAGTGTCCTTCAAAATAGAAATTACATGCCTGCTAATGAACTCCTATAAATGCAACAATTTTGTGGCTCATTTTACACACACGGCACATCTGGATACTAGGTGATAGTTGTATGAAAATTCTGGGATTTATAAAGTCATTAAGACAATCTATTTTTGTGTGTACATATTTCTCATTCTGTGTAAATATGTATAGAATGAGGACAGTAGATATATAAATATAGGAAGGCGGTAGTCCAACATCCAGCACCTTACTCTATAAAATGGAAATAATTTAACGGCATAACTGTACTATACTAATTTATGTTTGTCTGGAAGGGATTTTTTTTAAAAAATAATGAAGCTCAATTAATATTTTGCTTACCAAAATAGTGTAGTTAGTCTGAGCAGTAATAGCATCCTTAAATCGCTGCATTTTCTCAGAGTCCTGTGGGTGAAAAGAAAAGAAATACAATATTTTAAATGAAATGCTTCCACAATTTAATGGGAATAAACTGTGGTAACACAACATAATATATGGTTCCCACTGTTTTTAATTGTGTGTTGTCTTATTGATAATGTTGTGTATTTTATTGTTTATGTTTTTTAATTGCTTGTATTGTTGTTATTATTGCTTGTATTGTTGTGTTTGGGCTCGGCCTCATGTAAGCCGCACCGAGTCCCTTGGGGAGATGGTGGCGGGGTACAAATAAAGTGTTGTTGTTGTTGTTGTTATTACTATTACTATTATTATTATTATTATTAGTCTCCTTGTGCTCAAGACTGTGCATGTTTTCCAGAAGGAACTTCCAGTGTGTTTCGTAAGTTTACTCCTTCATTGTAATTTTTATGAACTGATCTAATCTATACCTCCCAAAGTAATCTCTGGGTTGTACAAAAACACCCTCCCACTCTCCCAATTTTGTAGGGATATTCCTGATTAATAAAATGTTAACTGTGTTTTTTATCAAAGCAATGACTATTAGCAGAGCATAGCAGAGCACCTGATGAACCAACCTGGACACAGCATATTATTTGAGAACACAGAAGTGCTGGACCACTCTCACAACCACCATGTCAGACTACACAGAGAAACCACTGAAATCCACAAGCATGTGGACAATTTCAACAGAAAGGAGGAAAACATGAAAATGAACAAAATCTGGCTACCAGTATTAAAAAACTCAAAAATTACAACAGCAAAACAACAGAGGGGAAACAAACAGGCACATAAAATCAGTCTCAACAAGAGATTCCCCCCAGGTGCTTCCAGGCCATTGAATGCAAATCAAGGTGATCAGCTGAAACATTCGCAGCTAGCCCCAGCAGACAAAGGTCCCTTGTCTCACCCTGGCCATTCCACAGATATATAAACCCATTTTTCCTACTTCCAACAGACCTCATTACCTCTGAGGATGCTTGCCATAGATGCAGGCGAAACGTCAGGAGAAAAATTGCCTCCAGAACATGGCCATATAGCCCGGAAAAACCTACAACAACCCAATGACTATTACTTTGAAAAATAATATTGTAATCTTGACGGACTTGAACAGTATTTCTATTGATAGTATTGCCCAATATTACAATGCTGGTTTTGTCTCAAAAACACACCAAATGCATTGAAAAATATATGCTCAAGAATACAAAATACAAAAAGGAAGATTTAAAAAACCTTAAAATGCATATTTTGTTAGGATACAATATTTTAGTAAACCTGAGTTGAACCTTTTCCACATTTTGTGGCAGCCAAACTGCATGTACAGAAGTAACCAGTAGCTATATCTTTCCCCCTTTTCTAATATTCTAGAAATAGTGAAAATAACTGTGTTGTCTATTACTATATCGGAGAAAAAGGAAAATGAAAGGTGAAGTCCGTAATTACATTTTAAAGGTTAATGTGACTCTCAGCTCTTTGAATTAGTAGAATAGGGCGAGGTTATAATAATTGCAGCAATCTACTCTTTCTCCTCTTTTGATCTTTAGTAGCATAGAATCAAAGAGTTGGAAGAGACCTCATGGGACATCCAGTCCAACCCCCTGCCAAGAAGCAGGAATATTGCATTCAAATCACCCCTGACAGATGGCCATCCAGCCTCTGTTTAAAAGCTTCCAAAGAAGGAGCCTCCACCACACTCCGGGGCAGAGAGTTCCACTGCGGAATGGCTCTCACAGTCAGGAAGTTCTTCCTCATGTTCAGATGGAATCTCCTTTCTTGTAGTTTGAAGCCATTGTTCGTCCTAGTCTCCAGGGAAGCAGAAAACAAGCTTGCTCCCTCCTCCCTGTGGCTTCTCTCACATATTTATACATGGCTATCATATCTCCTCTCAGCCTTCTCTTCTTCAGGCTAAACATGCCCAGCGCCTTAAGCCGCTCCTCATAGGGCTTGTTCTCCAGACCTTTTGCATACAGAGGCGGCCCTAGGTAATTTTCAATGGTAAGCAAACAGTATTTTGCCCCCCCCCCCCCCAACCAATCACTGATATATATTTTCTGTTCATCGTGGGAGTTCTGTGTGTCATATTTGGTTCAATTCCATCATTGGTGGAGTTCAGAATGCTCTTTGATTGTAGGTGAACTATACATCCCAGTAACTACAACTCGCATATGTCAAGGTCTATCCTCCCCCAAGAGCGCCTCAAGAGCGCCCCTGGGCAAAATCAACTATACTGCAAATGCTTACTTTGCGTAATGGGTTGAGCCGCCCCTGCCTCTCTCTCATACTCCTGCATCTCTTAGAAACAATCATCTCCAGGTTTAAAGAACTTGAAATGTTTTAAAAGAATCTTATAGGATTGTTTTTCACTGAATCTGAAAATAATAATGACTTTAAATGCTAGGAGGAGACATAGAATAATTACCACAGAAAAATTACCAGTGGGAGTGGATATAAGACCAGCTCAAGAAAAAACACCCCGCTGAGCTCATTTGTAAATTGAGCAGTGCCGAATTGCTTTATGTGGGGGCAAAGTGCATGATTTATTATGAATGTGTATAACAATGCTCTGGGTGAACTTTTCTATGTCGAAAAGCAGCTTGAGGTGACAGTTTTGTGCAACACAATCGGTGTGCACCTGTGCCCTTTTTACTGCACTGAACCGCTTATTTCCTGCAAGACTCTGGAGGCATGCTTGCATCTGGAATTATGTGTGAATGCATGTATGTGAATGAGAGAGCAAGCAAGTATCTTCATAGGCAGGCTAGTGCAATTTGGAGCTGCAAAACTAGAGAAGGGGTTGGGTTGTTGTGTGTTTTCTGGGCTGTATGGCTATGTTCCAGAAAGAGTTAATCCTGTATTGTTGAAGGCTTTCATGGCTTTAATCACTGGGTTGTTGTAGGATTTTTCGGGCTATATGTCCATGTTCTAGAGGCATTCTCTCCTGATGTTTTGTCTGCATCTATGGCAAGCATCCTCAGAAGTAGTGAGGTCTACCTCACTACCTCTGAGGATGCTTGCCATAGATGCAGGCGAAACATCAGGATAGAATGCCTCTAGAACATGGCCATATAGCCCGAAGAAACCTACAACAACAATCCTGTTTCCTCTTTGTTCTATACTTGTCATTGATGTTTGTATTTCTTGGCACCTGTCAAGTCCACATATTTCCAGAGAACTCCAGTAGCCTCTGGATCTACTACTTTCCCTCCTTACTTTCACTGCCTGTTCACCTCTCCTTCCTAAAGAATCAAGCCAAGATGGAGGAGGTGCAGCCCCCAAAAAGTCATAAAGATTGGGTCCAAAAGAAAAGAACAAGTGGACAGAGGCTGGGCAGGCACGAAAAAGAGGCAAGCCTATCCTTATTGTTCACGTGTCTCCAAAATCTAGATCATGTGGTATTCCAAAAGAAGGTGGGGTGGGACTGATGGCTGGGGCAATAATTGTACTCACATACCTGTAGAGATAACTTTTTATCTATCATCCCTTTTGCAAAGGCTAATGCTTCAGGAGTTGCGGATCGGATGTTGTCTACTCTCCCTTCTTCAAACCGGCGTATGGACGCACTTTCATAGGTGGGAACAAGTCTCCCATGCAATCTGCAAGGCAAAAATAATTAGTGTGGACTTTTCAATGTGAACCCCTTTTCTAGTGCAGGAGACATATCTTGATGACCCATTGGCACAATTGTCCTCCTTCCCAGTTTGTACATTGCATCTAGAAATCAGAAAAACTTAGAGAAGTTACTGGTTTGGACTACAAGACTACCAATACATCCACCCGGTGTAGTGACTGAGAGGCTATGTTCCCTGAAAGATTTGGGGAAATATAGTCCAGAAATGATACCCCTACCACTTTGATAGCACATTACTATGTCTGTGTTGTGCCTTACTGGACTATTAGTTTCTACAAATGCTAAAACGTGGCCAGGGTATCATATTATCACCATGTGGAACAGCTTCCAATTTGATATTGACATCCAATGGTGAAAAACTTCTATGTAGAACATCTTGTTTGTCTTCAAGTTGTTTTCAACTTATGATAACCGTAGGGTGTTTTTGGTAAGATTTGTTCAGTGGAGGTTTGCCTTTGCTTCCTTCTGAGCACGAGAGAGTATGACCAAGGAAACCCAGGCCCTGTGTATACTGCCCTACAATGCATTTTGAATCTGAATTACATTATTTAACACAATCTTTGTTCCTGGGTTAGAAATGTCATTTCCTAATTTGCTCTATTACAAACCATGGAAAAAGTATATTAAACTGGGAACATTTTGTTTCTGTGGGACATCCTGCAACACATTTTGCTAGTTTTTCAATGTATATCTCATAGCATCTCAACCAATTCAACATACTTTGTGGCAGCCACACAAACAAAGTTTCAGGAGTAAAACAACTAGTAAAACAAACAATGAAATGGAAGATGACACTTTCACACCAGGAACAGAATTTTAATTTTTTGGTTAGGTAGTAAAGGTTGTCCCCTGACATTAAGTCCAGTCATGTCTGACTCTGGGGTGTGGTGCTCATCTCCATTTCTAAGCCGAAGAGCCGGCATTGTCCATAGACACCTCCAAGGTCATGTGGCCAGCATGACCGCATGGAGCGCCGTTACCTTCCCGCTGGAACGGTACCTATTGATCTACTCACATTTGCATGTTTTCGAACTGCTAGGTTGGCAGAAGCTAGGGCTGACAGCGGAAGCTCACACTGGAATCGAACCTGCGACCTTTTGGTCAACAAGCTCAGCAGCTCAGTGCTTTAACCCACTGCGTCACCGGGGCCCCCCGGTGTTGGTTACATAGTGTTATTAATCAGTTTTGACTCATATTATATAGTTCAGTGCAGTTAAACTGCATTATATGTGTCTACATTAACCATACTTTTATTAATGTCTGTATTTTATATATGGCATTGAATTGTGCCAACTTGTTCGCCACCCTGAGTTGCCTTCGGGCTGATATGGGCGGGGTAGAAATAGTGTAAATGAATAAATAAATAAATAAATATAATACAATGTATTGTTGAAGGCTTTCATGGCTGGAGTCACTAGGTTCTTGTGGGTTTTTTTCAGGCTATAGGGCCATGTTCTAGAGGCATTTCTCCTGACGTTTCGCCTGCATCTATGGCAAGCATCCTCAGAGGTAGTGAGGTCTGTTGGAAATAGGACAATGGGTTTAAATATCTGTGGGATGGCTGGGGTGAGGCAAAGAGCTCTTCTCTGCTAGAGCTAGGTGTGAATGTTTCAACTACACAGAGAAGCCATTGAAATCCACAAACATGTGGACAATTTCAGCAGAAAGGAAGAACCATGAAAATGAACAAAATCTGGCTACCAGTATTAAAAAACTCTAAAATTACAACAGCAAAACAGAGAGGAAACAACCAGGCACATCTTAACACCTCTCAACAAAAGATTTTCCCAGGCTCAGCCAGGCCTTCAAATGCTAATGAAGGTGGTCAGTTGAAACATTCACACCTAGCTCCAGCAGAGAAGAGCTCTTGGCCCCACCCCAGCCATTCCACAGGTATATAAACCCATTGTCCTATTTCCAACAGACCTCACTACCTCTGAGGATGCTTGCCATAGATGCAGGCGAAACGTCAGGAGAAATGCCTCTAGAACATGGCCCTATAGCCCGAAAAAACCCACAAGAACCTAAATATAATACAGTTTTTAACTGCATTTTATGACAATGTACATGGGGCCCCAATAGGTGTCCATGTCTGAGTGGGGACTAGAAACTTAATCTCCCAGAGACCCAATCCAATGCTCAAATCACTATACTATACTAGCTTTTCCATATGGAACTACATATGGAAATGTTTGCCATTTTCCTTTGAAACCATGATATTTTTTTTTAGGTTTGTTAAAAATGATTTTGAAGCCATTAATTTGAACCGCCCCTGGATTATACGGCAAAGTAGTGGGGGAGCAACTTCATGCTGACGAATATCCTTTGTTCACCTCCGTCTTCTCATTCTCGGCCCCCTCCCACTGCACCTTTTTAATGCTACACTGACAAATGTTTGCTGTCTAATAAAGCTAATTTTGACTTGGCTCCAGGGCCTCTCATTTAATTTGCCCATTATATCCATGATGCTTTAAGCATGGAATGTTTGCTACTATTTAGACTCTAATGGCAAAGAGGATAGGCTGCCTCCATCTGTACTCAGGATTTGTCTGCTAATTAGGCCCCATTATTCTTTAGCTTGTTAATGCGGAGTGCGTTTATGACTGATAGTGGTCATACCATTTGCTCCTTTGCCTGATATAAATGGTTTCTGTGCTGCAGATGTTAGACACGAACTGGCCAGACATAGGGGGACTGAATCTATCTTTTGGAGGTGGAAAAGTGGGAAGGCATACTTGCACAACAGCTATGTACATACAAAAGACCGAATCAGTTCGTTGGGGTCGACCGTTTGTTCCTCCTTCTGCTCTGTTACATCCCCATCGATCTACTGATACTTTCAACCTGGTCTGACTTCACTTCTGCTTCTGCTTTTCTTCTAAGCTACTCCTCTCTGTTGGAAGTCTCTTTATACTCCTGCCTAAGGAAACTCAGTGAAGTTCAAATTACATTTTTTTTTTAAAAAAAATGCTAAATCTCAGCATAGCGAAGTTTTCTAGAACAGGCTTTTTGTTCCTTGGTCTTCCAGATGTTTTGGTCTTCAACTCCCAGAAATCTCATCCAACATAACAATGGTCAGGAAATCTGGGAATTGAAGTCCCCAATATCTGAAGGACTGAGGTTTGATCATCACTGATCTAGCATAACCATTGACATGCTTGAGTTATGACAACAAGCAACACACGTGTCAAGATCATAACTACTAGGGCAGTGTTTCTCAACCTGGGGGTCAGGACCCTTGGAGGGGTTGCAAGGGGTTGTTGGAGGGGTTGCCAAATACCATCAGAAAACATAGTATTTTCTATTGGTCATAAGGGAGCCCCCGGTGGTGCAGTGGGTTAAACCCCTGTGCCGACAGGACTGAAGACCGACAGGTTGCAGGTTCGAATCCAGGGAGAGCGTGGATGAGCTCCCTCTATCAGCTCCAGCTCCTCATGCAGGGACATGAGAGAAGCCTCCCACAAGGATGGTAAACAACAAAACATCTGGGCGTCCCCTGGGCAACGCCCTTGCAGATGGCCCAATTCTATCATTGGTGGGGTTCAGAATGCTCTTTGATTGTAGGTTAACTATAAATGACAGCAACTACAACTATAAATCCCAGCAACTACAACTCCCAAAGGTGAAGCTCTATTTCCCCCAAACTCCACCATTTGGGCATATTGAGTATTTGTGCAAATTTTGGTTCAGATCCACCATTGTTCTCTGGATGTAGGTGAACTACAACTCCAAAATTTGAGGTCAGTGCCCACCAAACTCTCCCAGTATTTTCTGTTGGTCATGGGAGTTCTGTATGCCAAGTTTGGTTCAATTCCATCACTGGTGGAGTTCATAATGCTCTTTGATTGTAGGCTAACTATAAATGACAGCAACTACAACTCCCAAATGACAAAATCAATCCACCCCCACCCTCACCACACCAGTATTCAAATTTGGATATATTGGGTATTTGTGCCAAATCTGGTCCAGTGAATGAAAATACATCCTGCATATCAGATATTTACATTATGATTCATAACAGTAGCAAAATTACAGTTATGAAGTAGCAACGAAAATAATGTTATGGTTGTAGGTCACCACTACATGAGGAACTGAATTAAGGGGTCACGGCATTAGGAAGGTTGAGAAACACTATACTAGGGCTTAGCTTGTAGAAAGAAATTTGAGGAATAATAATTTTGACTTGACCTCATTATTAATCCTGTACACCTAGGTAATCTGATTTCTCCTTTGCTTTGACTTCATCTATACTGAAAATTTAATGCAGTTTGAAGTTAGCTTGAAAGGATGCTGGCTAGACTACAAACTCCCACAAAAGCATGCCAAAAACTCCTTAATATATACAAGTGCTCTGTTGTTTGTAATCATCATTTGGACCTCAGGATTTCTCATGTAATCATTTGCGAAGTGAAACCACTTTCTTCAATAATGGTATGAAAATAGTCAGTGTAGGTGGCATCTTAGGGATGCCAATTGTCAGTTCTGCCTCTTAATCTGAATTATGCTAGATAGTTAAATTTTTCAAAATACCTAAACCATGAACAAGATATGTTAACCTAGGAAGATTTGAGATAGGATATAGATTCCGAAAGGATAGGGATGCAATTGTATGGTGACATGGGGTACAGATTGCCACCATTTGGAGATGTCCTTCAGATGAAAAAACTGTAGAAGGTATAAACTGGAGCAGATCTGAAATGGAAGTAGGACAAGGCTTACAGTTCCTCTGGGTCCTGGACTGGATTTCATGCCTACTACCCATCCTCCACCACCTCCTATCCCCAATATCTGCTCTTTATATTACTAAATTATCAAATTGTGTCACATCACATCTTGGTGTCCCCCCAGCAACAGCAAGGGTATCCCAACTGGATGCCCCCTCACGAGGGTCTTCCTCCAGGAGCAAACCAAGAATGGGCAACTTGGAAGTCCCTGAACAGACTCAGAAGTGGAGTGGGCAGATCTAAAGACAACCTGGCAAAATGGCACTACCTAAAAGAATCCCACACCTTATGTGACTGTGGAGCAGAACAGACAACTTCGCATCTGTATGCTTGTTCGCTATGCCCTGCCTCATGTACAGAGGAAGAATTGTTGGAGGCTATAGATAATGCCATTTCTGTTGTCCGTTATTGGTCAAAAGATATTTAGCCACATGTGCTCCTTCTATTTTTGTCAGTTTTATACTAATTTATGCAATGCTTTTGATACGAAATAAATAAATACATAAATCAAAATAACATCACGCCTGGCCTTCTCTTTAAAGGCAAATATGAAGTTGGGGTCCCTTTACAGTGAAAAAGTGTCCATCAATTTTACGGAAGTTCTTTCTTAGGAGATTTCCCTAATCTTGCCAAAAAGTCTCTGGCTGACAAGAGCTGGTTTGTTTTGGGTTTGCATACCTATAAAATGTTAGCTGGAGGGCTACTTGGATGTAGGCATCTGGGCTCATCTTCTGCTTTTTGATGAATTCTTTCCCATAGTTTTCAAATTTATAGACCATGAGGTCTAGATTCTTTACCATCCTAGAAAATGAACAGAAACACTAGAGCTGAAAACACAAATGTCTTGCACAAAAATGTAATCCTTTTTTAATTATTTCTAGAACTGTGCTCCCAAACTTTGGTGATCTTGTGCTGTGATCCTTGGATTCTGGCCTAGCCTCAAATCCCTTTTACAAAACCACCACTGACAACTCAAAACCATCATACCATGCCTTGTGAGTTGGAAAATGCAAGGCAAGAGAACCAACCTTTGTAACAGCTGTATGGGAATATGCAAAGCCCTCTAATCCTTCCATTCAAAGTGCCTATTCAAATAAGTTGTTTACCGTCACACTTCTCCATACATACAGTTTGAATAGAAGATGCTCTTTGCATGAAATGCAAAGGCTAAATACTGGATCCAATTTACTTCCTGTCATGTTGATAGTCATCATGTAGGTGACAAGAACATGCTGTTAACAATATGCTTTACATGGTCATGACAAATGAAGAGCCACAAACCTATGAGAAAAAAAATGTTGCTTTTTTTGTTCCAATCCACCACAGTTCGGAGACCACCAACTGCTGAGTGGGTGGGCAGGATAACAGGCTTAGACGTTGGACTATCCCACAGGAGGTATGGGAAAAACCAATTTTATTGGGAATTATGTCATTTTAATGATCAGCCAATTTTTATTTTATATTTTAATAAGTTTTGGGGCATATGTGGGGGCTGGAAATATTTGTTTTGAAGGAAGAGGAAGCACTCTCAAGTTTCTTCTGTGGAAATGTAGGGACTTTAAGACCTCATGAGATACATGCAGCCCATGAGTTACTCTTTGCCCATCACATATTTATATAACATCATCTACCCCCATATTTATGATAAAGATTAGATGCTGTTAACACCTAGAATTGTACTCAACATGTTTGTATTTCTTTGAGAGTTTTCCCCCCACTGCCAGCTGAGGAGAGGGGTTTATTGCAAAATTACAAGGGAAAAGGTTAAAACTAATCACTAAATTTCAGTTGGACGCTTTAATTAAGTAATAGGAACAGGTGATTGCAGTTAAGAGATTGGGAGAAGCATTCTGTTTTTTTACACAAGTTTGGAAAAGTAGGTTCCAAACAAAATGTATGTGCATGGATATGCATATCTGAGGGCCCTTCTACACTGGCAGAAATGTTGGGAGGAACTGGGTTATTTTAATCCAGTTCCTCCTGAGACTTTGACCCTACACCCTCCCATAACTTGGGGGTTTCCCTCATGGGATGGTTAGATGCCATCCCGGATCAACCAAAGATCTCTGCTGACTCCCATTTTCCCCTCAAAAATTTACCTGAGGGGTCTGCCTTCCAAAGAGTTCTTCTGACATGCAAAGATGACATATCAGAAGGTTGGAGAGGGAGGGTGAGAGATTTTCCTCCTGAGCTGGGAGGAGGGGTGGGCTCTAGGAGCCTGAAGAACCAGGATGGCTGTGGGAATTGACTCCTGGGACTGTGATAGAAGTCCCAGGAGCTAATAACCACATGGTCCATACCTGGAAAGATCTGGATAAGTCCAGATATTTCTAGGTGTTTTATCAATCCAGAGCAAACTGGGAAATTCCCGTTTTCTCTAGATTAATTTGGTTTTATCTAAGTCATCAGGCATTTGGGGCCTGTCTGGGAGGGCCCTGAATTCCCAAGCAATGGATTTGGGTCCTGTTGGTTCCATCTTTGAAGTTATTTCAGTTGTGAGTTTTCAGGTCAAGGTCTGCATATATTATAATAATTTGTTATTATTGTAAATGAGCCTTAAAATACTTGTCAACCCATGGAATATATGTATGAATTAGACAGGCAAGCAGACAGATGTGCTGAAAACAAGGAGTCTAGGTGTGCAATGAACAATGATCTGAAATATCATTAAATCTGTAAGGAGCCCCCGGTGGCACAGTGGGTTAAACCCCATGTGCCGGCAGGACTGAAGACCGACAGGTCACAGGTTCAAATCCGGGGAGAGGTGGATGACCTCCCTCTATCAGCTCCAGCTCCTCATGCGGGGACATGAGAGAAGCCTCCCACAAGGATGATAAAAACATCAATTCATCCGGGCATCCCCTGGGCAATGTCCTTGCAGATGGCCAATTCTCTCACACCAGAAGCGACTTGCAGTTTCTCAAGTCGCTCCTGACATGACAAAAAAAAATCAAACCTGTAGATCTATCAGGTTCATGATAGATCTACAACCTCATCACATGTGAAAAAATAAGTGTCCTAGAACACTTCTGCCCCAGTTCACTCATGGAGCCCCACATTGCCCATCAGATGACCTAGGTTGACTTCCAGTGGGGCTCTGTGGGTGAATTGGGCATGAGCGTGGTAGGACATTGCACTGCCAACACGGTAGCCTCCCCATGTTCCAAGAACAACAGGGCTAATGTGGGATTATGCGGCACAACAATGCTTCCCCATGTGTGATGTAGAAGTGTCAGCTTTTATCCAGGGCAAGTTGTCTTTTTCTTACAGTTTATATGCCACCTTTCCATAATATAAAATCTCAGTGCCTATAGTTTTCTGAGATAACAGCAGCAGCATGAAAGACTTGGGGTTCCAAGAAAAGACCATAATTCATATTTTCTACCTTATTTTTCACAGTGACATTTCAGAAACCAAGTAGCCTTAAAAAATCTAAAACAACACTTCCCAATTAATCTCTCTCCTTGCTGATTAAAACCAACCACTGCTCATTAATCAGTTAAGGTTTAAAATGATTAATCCACTATTTAAATTAAAGAACGCTTGGAGCCTTAATAACTTTGTATTAAAAGTCAAGTTGGAAATCAAATGTACCTTTGAAGTTTTTCTGCAGATGAAGCCAAGAGCCCCTGAATTTCTGGAGAGCATTTCCACCGTAGTCTCCTTGGTGCCGGAAGTTCACTCACTGAATCAGCTCTAACAAGTTTCTTTGCCCCTTCTTTCCTGTTTATTAAAACAGAATTATAAAGTTTAAATATGTTGTTGATGACTTCACATCTCAAGAAGACTTTTAACACTAAAGGTGTTCTCATAACTACTGTCTCTATATTTATTTTATAGCTTGTGGAACCCGGTTAGAAGTTATTTTTGAGAATACAAGTGCCAGGCTCTCCCAGCCAATTATATACATTGGCCATAACAGTTATGTAACTTTAGGAATTGTAGTTCCCAAAAAACAACAGTTACCTTTGACATAGATTATAGAATTCCCAAATTACTGGCAACTTTGCACTTTCTCGATCATGAGAATTAGTCATGAATTTTTAATTTGAATTTGTGACAAGTTGCATCTATACTGATTGCTTCTTCTGACCGATTAAAGTTTGGTAAATTACTCCCACTTATATACCAGGACATTCATGACTTGAGCAAAGGAAGTATGAATAGGAACATCCAACAACTCAGACTGCCTTGGTGCTCTGTAGTTAAGTTGGATCACAATTCCCAAATCCCATGGCAACAATGACCAAGTCATTGCTAATAATACTACTTCCTGAAATTTCAGTTCCAGTTTAGTTAAGATATGTTACCAAATTGAAAAAAATTGAATGTAGTTTGTTGTTGAACGGCATATCAATATTTATATCCATCTCATTTATTCATTGGGTCTACACCAGCTAGGTTTATTCATCAATTTTAGATCTTTGACCACAAGGTGTCACTTGGGACCTTATCACATTAAGTGAAGGATTTGTCACAAATTGTGGCAAATTTGTGGGGTCCTGGTGTGGGGCGTGGAGAACCCATTGCCCTATGTTCTGCATCACCCAACTTACCAATTACTCCATTCCATGGTAGAGGGGGGAAAGTGTCCACCACCCGGCTTCCCCCCCATCCTAGCAAAGGCAACACATGAAGCCTCCTGTGTTGCCACGGTGGCATTGTACACCACTTCCTCACTCCTATCATCATGGGCTTGGCCAGAAATAGAAATGTGTGATGTAATGAGCTCTCTGGCTAAAGGAGTGAGGAAGCGGTGTACGATGGGCAAATCAGTCTGTATGATGAGGTTGTTGGTATCAAAATGTCACTCAACACACCATGCAATTCAATCAACAGAGAGAACAAGCAAGCTAACTTTGGTCATCTTAGATGAGAATTGAAAGTGATATCTCTTTTAGTCAGAGACAATTTGGGGGGTCACTTACATGTGTTTGAGTAGATGCTCAATGCACTGCACCAGGACGATCCCTTCGAAAGGGGAATGTTCACACACTGTTCCACAGACTCCATCTCTTCCCACAACAAACTGAGGAAATACATGTTCACAAAAACAATGCATGAATCCAATATCAATGGAATTTGAAGTACTAGCAAAATATCTGTTGTCATAACTGATGAACAAATGTGTGGAATTGTTGAAGGCTTTCATGGCCGGAATCACTGGGTTGTTGTAGGTTTTTTTGGGCTATATGGCTATGGTCCTAGAGGAGAGAATGCCTCTAGACCATGGCCATATACCCCGAAAAACCTACAACAGCCCAAATGTGTGGAAGATCATAGGAAGAGCCCCTTTGGATCAGGCCAAAAGCCTATTCAGTCCATCTCACCCGATACCTATGGAAAGTCCACAAGCATTACACTCATATTCACACTCCCCAGAACCTGATTGTCAAAAGCATATTAATCTGATATTGGAGAAAAAGCAGACTAGATAGACAGACAGACAGACAGGTGATAGATAAGCTGCCAGTCACTGTTAGATCCCTTTCCTGTGAGTCGGTACAATGCCTCCTAAAACCATCCAAAATGTGCAGCCTTCAACATGAGTCATCACTAGAAAGCATGAGCACCTCACTATCAAGAGTTAGACTGAAGGTAAATAATGCCATGGTTTCAAGAAGTGAAGTAGACAGATACGAGGTATGACTCCATAGCTTTTAAGACAGGGGAAGCAATCATACAGTTTTTTGGACCTCCTCAGTTCTCCTGGACACTCAGCGCCCACCATATTTTTTCCTTTAAAAAAATATTTTAAATAATAATAACAAATAACCCATAGTGAACAGTTTGCAAAATTGTTTCTTACTGTCCTGTTCCCATTCCAAAACAGCAAGAGCCCTCCTCCCAGATCCAATAACAATGCAAAGTGATGCATTCCTACTTTTGGTAACCAGAAATGGATCTCCAGAAGCTTCCAAAACAAGTCATGACAGCTCCTTCAGGTTCAAGTATGTCCATGCCAGTCTAATCATTGGAGGTACTGAGTTCCATTAACATATTGAACAAACCATAAGCAAACAGGCTGTATTAGGCAGTTAGAAACATCTGCTTGCTAAAAAGTAATAAACTTCAATACAATCTAAGCCCATGTTTCCAACCATTATGAGGTCAGTTCTGACAGAGAGTTCTGACTAAGGTCAGTTCTATGCTAAGTCAGTGTCCTCTTAGTGCAATGTCCTGGTTGAAGAGCAGGAAACATGTACCAAATCATCAATGAGGAGAAAAATTACACTCTGTAAGAGCTGTAAAATTTGTTAAACAAGAGGAAAGCTAAATGTATTTACTGTATATACTCGAGTATAAGCCTAGTTTTTCAGCCCCCTTTTTTAGGCTGAAAAAGCTCCCCTCGGCTTATACTTGAGTCAAGGTTATTTATTATTTTATTCTGTTATTAGTATTATTTTTATTTCATGTATTATTTTATTACATGCATGCAGTCATGCTGGCCACATGACCTTGGAGGTGTCTACGGACAACGCTGGCTCTTCGGCTTAGAAATGGAGATGAGCACCACACCCCAGAGTCAGACATGACTGGACTTAATGTCAGGGGACTACCTTTACCTTTACTACTCTATTATTATGATGATGATTATTACATTTATTATACTTTATTATTATTACATTTATTATTTTACTCTATTATTACATTTATTATTTAACCCTATTATTACTGTTATTGCATTTCCATTATTTTACTTTATTATTATTATTATTATTATTATTACATTCATTATTTTACTGTCTTTATTATTGTTGGAAGGATACGTAAATACATTTACATTGAAGAAGGTTAGAATAATGATTTAATCAGAGTTGGGCAGTCTTATCTCAAATTACAATTTTATGTAAATATTCAACACAATTTCACCTCCTGATGCCTCAATTAATGTAATTTTATTGGCATCTATTTTTATTTTGAAATTTACCAGTAGCGGCGTCATTTCTCACCCTCGGCTTATACATGAGTCAATATATTTTCCCAGTTTTCTGTGGTAAGATTAGGTGCCTCGGCTTATATTCGAGTATATACAGTACATCTTTTTTGGATCCAGAAGATTTGGAAGATTTAGAAATAATAGTTCTCCAAAAGTTGCCTTTCCAGTTCTGGACAGCTCAGCACAACTTTCTACAGCCCCATCCCTAGGCTGAGCTGAAACCACCAGATATTAGGGTGTTCACAATTGTGTTTTTGTTTGCCGGATTTGGAGGATTCGGCAGATTCGGTTACCAAATCCATGAAAATAAGTCAGGTATGGGGCAGTTGAAGACTTAGCTGGTACAGATTACAACAGCAACATATTTTCGGCTAATGGAGGTTAATAGAGACCAATGGGGCTGAGTGGCACTCTATCTGATGTGGAGGCGGAGATGTGTGAGCAGGGCAGCCTGGCAAATCAGGAAAACTGTGGCTCCTCCTTTACTTTCCTCCCAAGCAGCCTCCTCCATCCCTTCCAAAAGTCCCCACACCCACTTGAGGCAAATGGGAACTTGTTTTCACAGCAGCACATTGAAGGAGCCTTGTGATCCCTCCCAGGGCATGGCAGAGGTTGAGGTTTTTCTCACTGTGCGTTTCTCACTTTCTTTCTCAGCTAATCAGGGGTCTGGTTGACTGTGCCCATTCTCCTCCCCTCTTGTGGCCTGCACTTGGGACTTCAATTCCCAGAACCCCCACTTGTGGTGTTTTTTGAAATAAAAATATTATGGTAAACACTTTAAACATTCCCAAAAAAATAGTGGATTGGTGAAATGTTCTGAAACTTGGCAGTCTTACAGGAATAAATGTGGCCTACAAGTGAGGTATGTTCCATGCTGATAGGTTTAAAATGGCATAGAAATAAGCCTCTAAAGTTTCCACATTGGCATCATTGGACTGAATCTTTCATGTATGAAAACAGAAATCATCCCAAATTTGGGAAGTTCCCTAAAAACGGAACGGGGGCAGCAAAAAACTGGGCATCAAATTGCACACCTCTACCCAGGCCCGTAGCCAGGATTTCGATTCGGGGGGGGGGGGGCTGAGTTTTTCGGGGAGGCTGAGTCTGAGTGAAAGAGGGTCTAGCCTAGCAAACCTTTTGTATCGTTACCCCAATACCCCCATGCATATGGGATATATTGAGTATGGTGATCAGATCATGATATGAATAAACATAACAGTTTAATTAATGTACCAGTAAGGTGTTTTCACGAACCACCATGAGAATTTCGGGGGGGGGGGGGTGGGAAGCCCCTCAAGTCCCCCCCCCCCCCCCCCCCCCCGGCTACATGCCTGCCTCTACCAGATATGCATGAAAGTCCAGAATGAGGGCCAATATATTTTCTGTTTGCTGTTGCTGCAAACAATAAAACCAGCACAAATGTGAAATACAGATAGGTTGCAATATACTCAAACTGCATTTTGGCTACAGTCAGTTTTGGTTACAGATTACACAGACCTGAGTGCCTCTCTTCCTCCACACTTCAGTGCTAACTGAAGCGGGTCATTTGAACTTGGACACAAAAGTAAGTTCTGTGTGCCTGCTCCCTTGCTGAATCAAGAAAGCTTTGCAGTTCTTGATCTGCATCAAGATTTGAACTGCAATACACACTGCTTGCTAAGCATTTCCTGAAATCCCCATCTACATTGCTACATTTGACTGGAGAGGCACAATGTCTCCTGTCTTGTCAACAGCACCCTTCTGCCATCTCAAATGAGTAGTCTTCCATGACATGAAGCAATGGTAGACTCAGAAAGATGGGCACTTAGCATAACAGTTGCCATGGCCAGAGAGAACATCAAAGGAAGTTCACAGCACAAGTCTATCTTCAGGGAGAGTCTAAAATTGAGGGCAACCACATTTTATCAAGTTAATTCTAACAATTTTCATCCTTTCAAAAAAAAAAAAGCAGGTCTTTTTTAAAGAGTTCATGAGCAATTAAAAGACAAGTCATCAATGGCCTGGAAGCTGGAAGGCAGATTGGGTAGCCATGCCAGGATGAGGGCCAAATGTTAGTTTGCATGTTCTCAATGGTCTGTAATGTCACAGAACCAGAGGCAGCCCTAGGTAATTTTCAATGGTAAACAAACAGTATTTTGCCCCCTCCCCCCCCTCAACCAATCACTGATATATATTTTCTGTTTGTCGTGGGAGTTCTGTGTGCCATATTTGGTTCAATTCCATCATTGGTGGAGTTCAGAATGCTCTTTGATTGTAGGTAAACTATACATCCCAGTAACTTCAACTCGCAAATGTCAAGGTTTATTTTCCCCCAAGAGGGCCTCAAGAGTGCCCCTGGACAAAATCAACTACACTACAAATGCCACAACTCAAATGAAGATTTAGATCCAGGATTTTTAAAAAGATGACATCCCAAACAAGAGCTTTTTGATGGGAAATCTCAGAATATTGTACCCATTCGACCCTGTGTTTGCCAGAGGGTCTGGGAGCTGCAGTCTAAAAAGTAGCTTTTTCCAGACTCTGGATTGCTTCAACCAGCTACAAAACTAGTTTAGTAATGTGAAAACTGAAATCTGGACTCACTCAGAAAGGTAATGTTACTGTTTGCATTGACATATAGAAAATAAAATAGTAGAAATGTTCCAACAGACATTGATATACCACGGTGCAGAATTCAATGTAGAAAAAATAGACATCCCCCTCCCCATCACCCACTTTTTATGATGGATTCCTTAACGTAACATGTTCCTTTTGAATTGATTGGGCACGGGTATAGGTATTTCGACAGTTATAAACTGTAGGCAAATGAGGCTCAGTTTTACAGAGTGTGGAGGAAAATATATCCAAGCAAGGACAATATTTGTGAAGGTGGGTGATATTTTGTCACTCTGTGTAGAGTGTGACATTGATTGAAAATATACAAGAACAGAGATCTTGCACTTACAAAATCTCGACGCAAGCAGCTCTTTCTGTCAGCCAAATTGACAGGATGGAAGAAGACGTGTCCAATCTCAAGTCCTGGACAGAATACTCACTTTGGCTCGGAAAAGAGTGGCCACATATTCACAACAGTTTCATTTTAGTATATTTTGTATACTCCTCAGTGAAGTTTATGTTGATTAGATTAATTAATTTCATTCCATTTTGGTTCCTGTCTGAGTGACAATGAGTCTGCTTTACCACTAGTAACTACTTTTCAGTGACTATTTTGAGAAAGCAAAGGAGGGCCATTATTGGGAGGCATCAGGGTTGGAGTTTGTGAGTTTAATTGTTCAGTGCTCTGGGATTTGCTGTTCAGAGTGCATATGACCTCAAAACCTCTGAGGATGCTTGCCATAGATGCAGGCGAAACATCAGGAGAAAATGCCTCTAGAACATGGCCATGTTGTTGTTCGTTCGTTCAGTCATCTCCGACTCTTCGTGACCTCATGGACCAGCCCACGTCAGAGCTCCCTGACGGCCGTCACCACCCCCAGCTCCTTCAAGGTCAGTCCAGTCACTTCAAGGATGCCATCCATCCATCTTGCCCTTGGTCGGCCCCTCTTCCTTTTTCCTTCCACTTTCCCCAGCATTCTTATCAATATCTTATTTGGTCGGCCCCTCTTCCTTTTGCCTTCCACTTTCCCCAGAATTGTCTTCTCTAGACTTTGCTGTCTCCTCATGATGTGGCCAAAGTACTTCAACTTTGTCTCTAGTATCCTTCCCTCCAATGAGCAGTCGGGCTTTATTTCCTGGAGGATGGACTGGTTGGATCTTCTCGCAGTCCAAGGCACTCTCAGTTGAGGTGTTGATTTTTAGAGCATCGGATTCGTCGTTCACCTCCAGTACCGTCGGCCGCTAGCCTTCCTTTCGGCTTTGAGCTAGTTGCGTCATCACATCTGGGGCTAGTTGAACTTATCCTCTGCTCCTCCCCAGTAGCATTTTGGCCATCTTCCGACCTGGGAGTCCCATCTTCCAATGGCATACCGACATATCTCTGGTTGTACTGGTCCATTTAGTTTTCTTTGCAAGGATACTGGGGTGGTTTGCCATTGCCTTCCCCAGGGATCACGCTTGGTCTGACCTCTCTGCCACGACCGTCCCGTCTTGGGTCGCCCTTCACGGTTTCGCTCATGACATCATTGAGGTGCTCAAGCTCCAGCGCCGGAACAAGGCGGCGATCCTTTGCTGGAGAGAACATGGCCAATTTTTAAAGATTTTCTTATACTGATACAAAAACTGTTAAAAATTACTTACTGCTTCCTTCAAAAGCAAAATTAGAGAGGATATGCACTCTGGGTTGTTGTAGGTTTTAGCGTGCTATATGGCCATGTTCTATAGCCCGCTAAAACCTACAACAACCCAGAGTGCATATCCTCTCTAATTTTGCTTTTGAAGGAAGCAGTAAGTAATTTTTAACAGTTTTTGTATCAGTATAAGAAAATCTTTTAAAATTGCAGTTTTCAAAAACTATTCACAGTTTGGGAGTTTTCTGTGCAAAAACCAATATGTGCTTTTGTGTGCACAGAAAATGGCATTTGTTTGCACAGGAATCTTGTTTTCTGTGATAATGCTCAAGATGAGAGAATTTTCCTGTTCAGAGTTTACAGATTCTCTTTTCAACTGTTGACTGAGAATTTTTGCATATTTCCATGACCTCATCAGGTGGGTTTTTCCAGCAATTTTACACTAGTCTCTGCTTCTTTTAACCAATTTTATGGCCACCAATGCATCTCTTCACATGATGCATGAGTGGCCACACCCCCTATTGCCCTCTTTTGGAATGTTTGTGGCATTCTGCATCAACCACATCAAATTTCTATCTCACAGGCAGGACCCATGATGTAGGTAAGTTTTCTGTAATTTTCTACCTTTCCCTCCACTATTTTCATGCTTCCCCCATCTGATGAGGGAAACCAATGGGGTAGTAGTAGTAGTAATAATAATAATAATAATAATAATAATAATAATAATAATACTGTTTACATGTCCGAACGGATTCTCCCCTATGAACCACCGAGGTCTTTAAGATCTTCCGGGGGGGGGGGCTGCTCTCGATCCCACCACTGTCACAATCGTGGTTGGTGGGGATGAGAGACAGGCCTTCTCGATGGTGGCTCCCCGGCTTTGGAACTCCCTCCCACAGGAGATTAGAACTGCTCCCTCCCTCCTGATGTTCAGGAAGCTAACAAAGACTTGGCTATGGAATGCGGCCTTTGACAACTGAGTCAACTTTGGTCCATATGGAAGGAGAATGAATAACTGAATTATGACCAGGAATGCTTTGAAGACGTGGCTATGTGATTGTGATGATGACGATGTTGTATTGTAATATGTTTTTAATTGTGTAATGATGATGCATTGTGCGGTTTGTATTTTTTTATATGAACACATGTTGTGAACCGGATCTGAGTCCCTCTTGTAGGTGAGAAGATCGGTATAGAAAATTTTTAAATAAATAAATAAATAAATAATAACAATTATTATTATTATTATTACTATTTCATTTTCGTGCCCAGCCACCATCTCCCTAAAGGGACTCGGGGCGGCTTACATGTGGAACAAAATGTTCATAAAACATAAAAACACAATAAAATAGAATACGGTAGTGATTTCTCCACCCTCACATGGGAAGGAGGAGGATGGCTACATGGCTCATGGGTGGCTTGAGTTGCCTCGCAGCCTTTCTCTAGCTCCCAAAAGTGTCTGTGTATGTGTTGAAGAAAAACCTTATGATGGTAATTACATACAGCTGGTAATGTAGGTCAACCAGCAAGCTTGGACAACACCCAATGGGGTATATCTGTATGGGTTTTTTTTAAGAATACAGTGTGGGTGTTGGAGAGCTTTAGGAGAGTTTTTTCTCTGAGGAGATCTATGCTCAAAGGCTTTGCTCTGGGGAGCAGCATGAAGAAGCTACTCTGAAGGAGACTATGGTGGAATAGCTATTTACTCAAGGTTTATTTTTGCTCTCTCATTTGATGTAAGATGAAGATGCCTTATTTTGTGTTACTTACAAGGACTATGTAAGTTTCTTGCACTATTTGATTTTTGTATTCAACATTGCAAGTTTATGTTTCATCTCTGTTGAGTAAAAAAGGTTTTGTTCATTTTTCCTCTTGTCTGTGAGTCTATTGCATTTGGACTCTGGGTAAAATCCGCTGCTGTGCAACAATGAGGTCCTTAGTTAACCAATATGAAAGGACATATGATTCCCACTGATACCCTATGAATCTGTGTGTCTTTTTTCTAACTACCCACCCATCTATCCAACCATTCCCTAACTTAGTCATTCATCCACTTTTCATATGACTGGTATATCTGTTGGCGATTTTCCCTTGTCTGAAGGTATGGGAAACTTCTAAATGCGTAATAGTAAGTTAGTAACAATGATTTGACATGATCCTGCTTGCATCATATGAACCTATGAACACTGATGGCCCCATCTTACCTGCATGGGTTTATCATACCAACGATTGGCACCATTTTTATTGTAACCTCCTCCATGTAGAAGTTGCAATGCCATGCTGGTATCATTGAGTTCCTCCCCACTTGGGCTATCAAGGCAAACTAAGCATAGGCTTCGTTCAATCATGTCAAGTGAATCTCGGTTTGTAGAATCTGAAAGGAGAGAAAAGGAACATTTGGTGCAATGACTTATTCCCTTGTTAGAGCCTCCTCCAAAGTGAGATATCATTATGTTTTAATCTCAGTTTTCTGAAAGGTAACAATGTAGGCATACGAACATTCTACAAACACTTGTTTCCTTGTGATGAGCTCACTTGAATCTTCTCTCATTGTAAGACATATGGTTTATTTTACACACATGAAGAGAATAAAAGCTTACTACATTAACATCCCAGGTAGTCTCGTAGTAGGGGATGCTTTCCAGTGCCATACCAGGATTCTTGAAGAGAGTATCTCAATTCTCTTGAGATCTTTTTCAATCTTCCTGTTGGGTTATACAGAGAAATTACTTGTCCCCTTCTCCATATATCTTGGGAATGGACAAATAGCTCAGGTCCAGGGGCTATTCATATTTGTTACTGAACATGGGAGATAGGTACTTTCTTCCCAACTCTATTTCTTTAATATTTTAATTTTAATGCAGTGTGGAAAATTCAACACAGAGGGATTTTCAGTGTGTTTTATGTTGTGCGGAACTTTTTTCCTCAATCAGGAAGGAACCCAAATCCCCTCCTCACATGAAAAAACATCTATACTTTAGCTTAAAACAAATAAAATTGTCCCTTGTGTTCCAGTAAAACAAATGGGAAAAGTGTGGGCATGGAGAAGCATACTAGGATATTAAAGGTGTTGTTACACTGTGCCCACCCTTCTCTATATGGAAGTGGGCAACTGCATTGCAAAGAAATGGCATGTTCCTAATAGCCCACACTGCTTCAGTTCTAGAAAACTGAAAGGGACTTCATATCATTTCTGTTTTACTTTGGGATTTTTTTTTACCCCTGGGGAGGGACTTTAAGGAAGCGGTGAAAAGCTACAACACTATGGTTATGGAGTGGTGGTGATTGGCACTATTTTGAGTTATTTCTGCATTTAAAAAAATCAACACAAAAAGTTTTAGGATTTATATTGGAAGGACTTTGAGAGTGTCCTGGGGATTATCTTGGATCATACAAATATGGCTGTGGAAAATAAGCCATTTATAGTCTGCCCTTTTTTTACTTTTACTATCTTAGTCATCTCTGAGGCACATCACCTGAAGATTATAATTTTAATAGTTTTTTGCCAAGCCTCAATGAGGTGCCTGTTGTTATTTATTTATTATTTATTTGCAGTATTTATATTCCGCCCTTCTCACCCCACAGGGGACTCAGGGTGGATTACAATGTACATAGCAACATGGCAAACATTCAATGCCATAGACACACAACATATTTTAGACAAACACTCAGAGGCTATTTAACATTCCAGCTTCTGGCCACCAGGGGAGCTGTTGCTTCACCATCCATTTGGGACACTGGTGAAGTACTTTCCTCATTCTTTGCATACTTCCTGGTGATTTTTATGGTCTCGTAAATCAGTTAAATTAGCCTCCCCACATAAGTGGTACCTAAATTCCTACTTGACAGATGCAACTGTCTTTCGGGCTGCAAAGGTCAACAACAAGCTACACAACTTTGGTCGGGAGCTCACTCCGTCCCGGGCTGGCTTTAAACTCATGGCCTTTTGGTCAGTAGTGATCTTAATGCAGCTGACTCCCAGCCAGCTGCGCCACAGTCCTGGCATCATACTTTCTCTTCAAGTCAAGTCTGACTTAGGTGGCCCTATCCTAGGATTTTTTTTGCCAAAATTTATTCAATTTCCCTTGGTCTGAGAGAGTATGACTTGCTTAATGGCACCTAGTGAGTTTTCATGGATAAGAATGGATTTAAATCCTGGTCTCCCAGAGCTTTAACCCAACTCTTAAACTACTATACCATGCTGGCTCTAGACAAAATGATTGCCCCAATCAGAATTGCAAAGCTTGGAAGAATCTCCAGAAGTAGGGAAGTAAAAACAGGACACTTAGCTATGGAGGTGTAGTTACCTAGACATAGCTGTCTTCTGATGTAAGTTCTTAGCTATTATGTATTTTATGATGAACAGAAACTGTATTGCCAGGATTTTGGTTTGATCCATAGTAAACAGGGAAAAGAATAACTACTACTGACCATTAAGACATATTTCTATATTTTGTTTTTCGGATTGCACAAACATGAAGGTCCACTTCTCTAACAAGAGATGAGGAGGAAGGGAATGGAAAGAATTTCATTTCATCCACACTTTAAAAACTAATCAGTTTAATTTGTACCTCTCAATCTAAGGTGTCAATCAGAATAGAATTATCTTTGGACTGCATAAGTCTTCAAATTTAGCAGTTCTCAAATCAAAGGTTATATACATAAATGTCTAGGCATAGGAGAGCTGCATAATTTTTTTTAGTTTAAAGTAAATTATAACTAAAATGAATGTGTGGACCATAATGATGGATCTAAACTGAATGTAAACGTCTGTGTGTCTGTTTTTCAAATGGTAGACTGATACAGAAATGTTGAAGGCTGGAATTATGACCTAAGATATGGTATTGGATCAGAATTAGATGCATTCATCCATCTGGTGAAAAAGTGAAGCTGTTTCTGGATGTGTGTATACCTTCAAGTTCCTTGCTAATTTATGGTAATCTCATTAATTTGATATGGTTTTTATTAGGCAAGAAATAGAGAGGTTTTTTCCTGTTCCTTCTTCTAAAATATAACCTAGAGTATCTGCTTTCATTACTGATAGCATCCCATCCAAGTACTAACCAAGACAGTCCCTGCTTAATTTCCAAGATGAGGCATAATCTGGTGCCTTTAGGGTATTTAGGTCCCTTTTGGGTGTAACACTTTAGAATATATGTGGAGGTTCACATGATTATTCTCAATCCCTTGCATTAAAAACTTGCATTTGAGATGCGACTAGACTCCTTAATCCTAAGATTTATTTTGTATGAGCAAGACATTTATTTTAACAAAGAAGGATTCAGTTGAGTGAATTCCCTCCCCTTCCACCCATGTAAAGTAAAGTAGTGCAGCCTAAAAGCAGCTTTCCAACTGATTTTTTTGCTTATAAGAAATGATTCTCTTATTTCCCTCCTGAGGATCCCTTTATTTGAGCGAGGAGCGTTGTTCATGCAAAATGAAGAGGTTATGAAACCTTACATTTGTATGCTCACAATGTACACTTAATGCCTTTAATTTTTGTGCTGTGATCCAGATTTTATGGCCTTTGTTAACCGTTGGCGCAACAAATTAAACTGCACTTTAGAAGGAAATGATCTTTCTGACTCATGAAGAATGGCAGAGACTGAGTACAGAGATGGTTTGATTTGCTTGTTCTGACCTTCCACAAGGATTGTCCGGGCATCTGCCCACTCTGTCCGTCCATCAGATGTTAAGAGACCAATTGGAGGCAGTCTCTCTTCTTCGTTCTCTGACATTTTGATTATTTTCCGTAACTGGGTAAATAGGTCCCCTTCGCTGAGACGGCGGAAATTAATGACAACATCCAAAACAAAAAACTGCAAAAAAAAGTGGAGAAATTAAAAAGAATGGTTAGAAGTTTAAAATACAAAATAGAAGAAAAAGTCTGTTGGATTTCCAAATATGCACAATCTTATTGAATGGCACATGTATTTATGTGTCTTAGGACCTCATGAAGCCCCCGGTGGCGCAGTGGGTTAAACCCCTGTGCCAGCAGGACTGAAGACCGACAGGTCGCAGGTTCGAATCCGGGGAGAGGCAGATGAGCTCCCTCTATCAGCTCCAGCTCCTCATGCGGGGACATGAGAGAAGCCTCCCACAAGGATGATAAAAACATCAAATCATCCAGGCGTCCCCTGGGAAATGTCCTTGCAGACGGCCAATTCTCTCACACCAGAAGCGACTTGCAGTTTCTCAAGCACTCCTGACATGACCAAAAAAAAAAAAATCACATAAGAGAAATTCAGTGTCCTAGGATGCTTCTGCCCCAGTTGACCCATGGAGCCCAATGCTGCCTATCACACAATGTAGCCTCACTTCCAACAGGTCTCCGTGAGTCAACTGGTGTGGCAACTTCATAGGACTGTGCCACCAACATGAGAGCCTCCCCATGTTCCATTTGAAACAATTAGGCTAGTGCGGGGGTAAGCTGCATGGTGACGCTTCCTCGTGTGTGATGGGGAAGTGTCAGCTAGTGGCAAGGCAGGGTGCCAGGATTGCCCCTTTGCGCCCCCCCCCAATTTGCCATAGAGACTGGCAAATTGGAACGCTGAACCTCATCAATGTGATGAAATCCTTACTCAGGCATATCACAACCAAACCAATTTGAAAGTGTTCAAAATAAGAGGAAGCCATTGGTGTAAAAGAAGATTTGTTGGTGTTCAATCAATACAGTCAATATTTAACAGCAAGGAAAGCCCTTCTCTTCATCCAAGAACTGTAAGTTCTTAACTCATGAGAATGTTGCTTTGGAGGCCACCATATCTAATAGATATTTATTTATTTATTTATTTATTTATTTATTTATTTACTTTATTAAGAGCAAAAGTATATACATACTTTCCCACTTTGGAAGGAAGCCCAAGATACAGGTGAAAGCATGATATCGTATACTGTCCTCACACAACCATGGAGAGGAGGTTCTTGTGCACAGAAGCCACATCTCCCATCCCATCCCTCATGACTGAGCTGACAAGTGGGAGTGTGGAAACTGACTCAATCTGACAAGAAATGTTTGATCTCATTCTTTCATTTCCTGGAATGCCTGCCAAGGTGAATAGTTTAATGAGGCCTCTCAGCAATATTGTCTAGTCTGCTCTATTTAGATAGATACCCATGACAGTTCCCTCTGGTAGCTACTGCTACGCTTAACATGACAAGGTTTCGTGACAAAGCTTTCCTTGGACTATGTTAAAACAGGTTGTGTTGCATAGACATCCACCAAAACAAAGCAGCAAAGGTTTATATTTTTTGGCATGGAAAGACGGTATGTTGAGGAGAAACAGGCTACATAATGACTATGTGCTTGTTATGCCGGTTTGTATGAATGCACAACTTGAGGTCCTCTAGATGTTTGGGACTCCAACTCTTAAAAGCCCTAGCTAACTTTTCCAATGGTCAGGAATCCTGGGAGCTGAAGTCCAAAACACATGGAGGGCCACAGGTTGTGCAGGCCTGCTTTAACATGTGATCCTTTAGTTAGAGTTTGAAGTCCAGCTTCATTACTTTAAGAGTCCCTTCATATGCTACCTTCACATCTGCTAACGTTGCCCCTTCCTGTCCTCTCAATTGTTTTTCCCTTTGTCAGCAGGGCTTTTCAACTTGCCAAATGCAGCAAGAAGTGGGGAGAAGATTGCTGGGGAAAAGCATGGGATGAGATGGTTAAAAAGACTTTTCTGATTCTTTGTGGCAAAACAGACTTGTTGTATTCCGTCAAGTTGTTTCCAACTTATGGTGATCTTAATGCAAACCTATGAGGCTAAGCATGCATGACTCACCCAAGGTTACCCAGTGGATTTTCAGGGCTGAACAGAGATTTAAATGTTCTTCTCCAGAGTCATAGTTCAACTCTCAAACCATATGCTATGCTGGTTCACTACATATAGGATTAGGACCCCATAATGGCCAATATTCTAGAAGGACATACATAGCATGAGTGTTCTACATGCAGAACTCCACTACATGCCTGTGTCACAATCCCTAGGACTCACTATTCCACTGCAAAAGTCTTCCTTCCCATTGTCATTCTGCTGCTGGTAGAGAATGGAAGGGATTAGATAATTCTCTGGCTATTTCCCCCTAGAGCTGAATATAGACTGAAGATATCTTTTGCCAAGATCCACTACAGTCTCCTGGAGCTCTCTGCAGATGATGTCACCAATCTGCATCTGATAGTGGGAACATACTTCTACTTTCCCATATCTCTCCTCCCGATCAACAATGGAGTGGTCATTGAGTGCAGATATCACAGCAACATGGTGAGTTGGAGGGGATTGGGTGTTTATGGAGGAAGAAAGGGAGTACTGACTTCTACAACAACTAAATTAAGTATCTGTAAGTGTAAGGTGGAATCTGCATGCTACTAACGGAATGCTGGCCCATATCTCTATTTTATCAAATTTAAGGTAATTTACAGAAACTCTCAAGTTAAATCTCCATATGCGCAAAAGCAATCCAAACATTCATATATGGGACAGGGAACATTTGACCTTCCAAACTTTTCATTATGGGTCTGCTGGGCACTGTAGTTCACCAATGAAGTCATGGTGAAAGCTTTTCCAGAACTACAGGATTTTATCAGTGAAAACCACACAAAAGGGAAACTGGAAGGCCTGGCATGGGAAAATAAAGCTACTGACCTCGTATATGTGCCTTCAAGCCCCCTGTTGACATATGGAGAGCGCATGAATTTCATAGAATTTTCTTAGATAAGGAATACTTGGAGGTAATTTTGCTAGTTACTTCTTCTGAAATATAGCCTATAGCATTTGGTATTTGAGGGCGGTTTTGTATCCAAGCACTGACTAGGGATGACTCTGCTTAGCTCACACGATCAGCTGGGATCTGATGCTTTCAGAGTATTTAGACCATTTATTGACTTAGTGCTAATTTTCTTTTTAAATGTTTATACCAAGCAAAACTTCCTCCTAGAAGATATTTTGTTAAGCAAAATGCTATTTGAGTGGAAAAGACCATCTTTCTACTCACATCGTGTCAAATTTCATGAAGGAAGAGAATCCAGAGCAGTGGTTCTCAACCTAGGGTCCCCAGATGTTTTTGGCCTACAACTCCCAGAAATCCCAGCCAGTTCACCAGCTGTTAGGATTTCTGGGAGTTGAAGGCCAAAAACATCTGGGGACCCCAGGTTGAGAACCACTGATCCAGAGGGTTTCTGCTTTGGGTAGGATGACGTTGAAATGACAGTATTTAAGATACATAAACAATTTGAGCCATTATAGATGGTGGCTCCCATGTCAGTGGACAGAGCAATCTTCTCCAGGGTTTAGTTTGAACTTTACAGCAGCTATCCAAAGCAATTAACCTATTTTGGGTCTATGTATGTATGTATATGTATGGAGACTAGCAGCTCCACTGTATTTAGGACATTGAAGACAAGTGTCAATCATTTTCAAATTCAAGTTTTGAAAGGACTGTGCAAGATCAATATTCACACACCTGATTATTACAAGCAACAATAATATGTTCTGGTTCAGGCATGACATTGCTTTTCTGCGCCACGAGGGTATCTTTGGTATGTCCTGGAAGACGATAGGAAGAAAAGAGTCCATAGTATTGCTTCATACAGAGAGGATGACCAGACAGCTGTCCACGAGCAAAATCAACAGGTATAGCATGGCTGGAGGGACAGAACAAGAGAGACAAAGCAAGAGAGAGAAAGAGAGAAAGTAGACAGAAGGGAAAAGAAATCTAATCTGTCCTTTGTTCTGTTTGCAATTAGATTAGATACACACTACGAGCATCATATTAAAATTAGGATTTTCACACCAAAACTGAAAATCATGATTCTAAACATGCCTTATATAAACCTATTACACAGCTACATTTGCATTCAGTGGATGGACACTGGAAAAGCAAACATGAATGCATTCAAAACAAGGAATGAAGCATGATACATTTTTGCACCACTCTCCTTTGAAGCACATATATATTGTCATGTGCTAAAGAGGTCCCACTCCCAGGCAAGGTCATGGCCTTTTACTGGAGGGGGTCATATGGGTTTACATAGAGTTTGGCTGAAGCACATCTTGGGGCAGGTATGTTAGAAATAGCAATAATACCTATAAGGTAACTTTTGTGATAATAAGGACATAACACTCCCCCTTATTGTGAGAAAACGTAATTATTACTAATGCCATTCATTTTTTAATGAAACAAAACTTTATTTGTTACTGTAAAATGTTGCTTTGGGGCCTACCTTTGGCTATATTGTGTCGAGGCACATTTTTAAAAATTATGATAATAAGTGGGTTGTTGTAGGTTTTTTTCCGGCTGTATGGCCATGGTCTAGAGGCATTCTCTCCTGACATTTCGCCTGCATCTATGGCAAGCATCCTCAGAGGTAGTGAGGATGCTTGCCATAGATGCAGGCGAAACGTCAGGAGAGAATGCCTCTAGACCATGGCCATCCAGCCCAAAAAAACCTACAACAACCCAGTGATTCTGGCCATGAAAGCCTTCGGCAATACATATGATAAAAAGGTAATGCATTAATAACATATTATCAGTATAGTCGTTATAAAATAACAGTAAAGAGCAATAGATTTTTAAAAAAGTTACAATATTGCTCATTAAAAATAAAAATGAAATTCCAAGCTTTGTGCTGAAGTCATTATATAAGTACCTCAGCAGACAAAACAAACAGGTCTAATGGGCTGTCTGGATTCTTAATTCTTGGAATCCGGACAAGAATGCTTGAGATTTACATAAAAAGAACAAAATATATAATAACCCACACCTAACTTTTGGCATATTTTTTTTCTTGAAAGAGGCTTCCACACAACTTACATGTGAAAAACATTGGACATCCCACAGCTTTATGTCTTCAGTATATCATTTAATTACCCATATCTAATGCTCCATTGAATCTAATGTGCATGTCAATTTTCAAAACCTTGAAACCGCAAAAAGTATTACGCAAATTTAATGCACACCCTAATTTTGGGAAGGAAATTTAGCAAAAAAAAGGGTAAGTATTCAGTTCGAGTAAATACTCCATTTGATTATGTTCTTATTTGAATTCTGTTTTTGTTTGATGGATTGTTTGCTTATTGTTTTACTAGCTGCCCCCTGCCACGCGTTCCTGTGGCCCGCATGGGGGTTCTGTGTGGGAGGTTTGGCTCTGTGATTGTAGGTGAACTATAAATCCCAGCAACTACCACTCCCAAATGTCAAGCTCTATTTTCCCCAAACTCCACCAGTGTTCACATTTGGGCATATTGAGTATTTGTGTAGAGTTTGGTCCAGATCCATCATTGTTTGAGTCCACTGTGCTCTCTGGATGTAGGTGAACTACAACTCCAAAACCAAAGGACACTGCCCACTAAACCCTTCCAGTATTTTCTGTCAGTCATGGGAAAACTGTGTGCCAATTTTGGTTCAATTCCATCATTGGTGGGGTTCAGAATGCTCTTTGATTGTAGGTGAACTATAAATCCCAGCAACTACTCCCAAATGTCAAGATTCTATTTTCCCCAAACTCCACCAGTGTTCACATTTGGGCATATTGAGTATTTGTGTAGAGTTTTGTCCAGATCCATCATTGTTTGAGTCCACAGTGATCTCTGGATGTAGGTGAACTACAACTCCAAAACCAAAGGACACTGCCCACCAAACCCTTCCAGTATTTTCTGTTGGTCATGGAAGATCTGTTTGCCAAGTCTGGTTCAATTCCATTGTTGGTGGGGTTCATAATGCTCTTTGATTGTAGGTGAACTATAAATCCCAGCAACTACAACTCCCAAATGACAAAATCATTTTTTTGAGTGAAGGACATACATTGGGTTGTTAGGTGCCTTGTGTCCAAATTTGGTGTCAATTCATCCAGTGGTTTTTGAGTTCTGTTAATATCACAAACGAACATTACATTTTTAATGTATTGTCGAAGGCTTTCATGACTGGAATCCATGAGTTGTTGTAGGTTTTTCTGGGCTATATGGCCATGTTCTGGAGGCAATTTTTCTCCTGACGTTTCGCCTGCATCTATGGCAAGCATCCTCAGAGGTAATGAGTTCTGTTGGGACTAGGAAAAATGGGTTTGTATATATCTGTGGAATGACCAGGGTGAGACAAAGGACTTTTGTTTGCTGGGGCTAGCTGTGAATGTTTCAGCTGATCACCTTGATTGCATTCAATGGCTTGGAAGCGAATTACAGCAGCAAAACAACAGAGGGGAAACAAACAGGCACATGAAATCACTCTCAACAAAAGATTCCCCCCAGGCGCTTCCAAGCCATTGAATGCAAATCAAGGTGATCAGCTGAAACATTCACACCTAGCCCCAGCAAACAAAAGTCCTTTGTCTCACCCTGGTCATTCCACAGATATATAAACCCATTTTTCCTAGTTCCAACAGACCTCACTACCTCTGAGGATGCTTGCCATAGATGCAGGCGAAACGTCAGGAGAAAAATTGCCTCCAGAACATGGCCATATAGGCCGGAAAAACCTACAACAACCCATTACATTTTTATTTATATAGATGGACATTTGGCCCCTTGTAAGCCTCTCCAAGTCCCTTCGGGGAGATGGTGGCAGGGTATAAAAATAAAGTTGTTGTTGTTGTTGTTGTTGTTTGTTGTTGTTATTAAAAATGGTATTCTTCTGACCATAACTCTAGATTATATTTTAACTTGACTTTTTTTCAAAAATGGTGGGATAGTAGGAAGAAATTCCAACTGAATAATGCTGGATTTTCTTTTAAATGAAACCTGGGCTATACGTAAAGCTTTATTTATTTAAGGAAGGCTATTCACTTGGTGAGAAAGAATGGCTACATATCTGGTCAGCTAGCAAGAAAAAAGATTTCTCCTTAGAATTGATGCATACAGCTATTTCTTAAGAAATATCACAGAATGACTAAGGTTACACAAAAGATTTTTTTAAAAAAAAATGACTTCTGGAGTGCAAAAAATGCTTGACCAGTGAACTGGAATGATGAAGATGAATTGGATGGATTTAAAGCAGCCATGTAGGAACCATCTATTGTTGTGTGAAGGGATGCAAGAATATCACTCAGTGCGTAACCTGGAGGAATTATGAAAAGCCCTTCACATGCAAAAGGACTGAGCTGATACATTGCTGTCGGGTTGGCAGTCTGGTGTAACAAATGCTAAAATGCACAAACAGATGGCATGACATTTCTGCGATACACTCTGGACTTGGCAAAGGAATAAAAAGTTGCCAGTTACCTATCGATTGATCTGTCTATCTAGTTTATAGGTTTATGCTTGACTTTCAAACACATTATCAGGTCACTTCATCACCCCTTTGACTGATTTCCAGTTAAGTTATGGCCAATTCAGGCACTTACAATCCCTTGGTTGATCTCCACTGTGGGCATACTGGTGACCAGAAGTGAATTTCAGGGAAGCTTTTAGGCGGGAAGGTAACGGCGCTCCATGCAGTCATGCCGGCCACATGACCTTGGAGGTGTCTACGGACAACGCTGGCTCTTCGGCTTAGAAATGGAGATGAGCATCACACCCCAGAGTCAGACATGACTGGACTTAATGTCAGGGGACTACCTTTACCTTTACCTTTTAGAGCTTTAGTGTTGGGTTCAAAGAATAACTGTGTTTAAGGAACAAAGCAACCTTCTTGCAATCTGATTTGAGTTGAAAAGGAAGAGCTTTCTTTAGTCATCTTTGGAAAAAAAATTATTCATAGTTCAAGGGTAGGGTCAAAGGAGCCTGGAGAGGCTAAGGGTCGCAGAACATTTTTGGGGAACATGCATAGTATGGGCCACCCAACTGTCTCTCTTGTGTGTATTCTCTATCACTTCTGTCGAGCCCTCGGTGGCGCAGTGGGTTAAACCCCTGTGCCGGCAGGACTGAAGACAGGTCGCAGGTTCAAATCTGGGGAGAGGTGGATGACCTCCCTCTATCAGCTCCAGCTCCTCATGCGGGGACATGAGAGAAGCCTCCCACAAGGGTGATAAAAACATCAAATCGTCTGGGCATTCCCTGGGCAACGTCCTTGCAGACGGCCAATTCTCTCATATCAGAAGTGACTTGCTGTTTCTCAAGTTGCTCCTGACACGATTTAAATCACTTCTGTTTACACGTTTTGGTTTTCAGTACAAAAAAATATCTCGAACAGCTAAATCTTCAGGTGAGATAGCATAGTCTGGTAAAAAAGGAACTTGTGCACACATTTATATTTTCATCTCTGCATGCTCATAACAAAACTCAGGTTTCGTTCACAAGAACCAAATTGCTTACGTGTCCAGCAGAGCTTTATAGTCAAGAACTCCAGAAATGAGATTTGCTGTAAACCTGCAAAATCAAAGACAAAAGCAGCATGGATTTCTTGTGATTCCACAGTTCTGCTCTACCTTTGAGGGTTTTAAAAAAATTGATCACATTGTGGACACAGCATAAGCTTATGAAAGTGTTGTTGTGGATCTGTTAGGACAAGGTTTCTCAAATTGTGCTCCGTGGAGCCTGTGGGGCTCCACAGGTGATAGTGAAGGGCTCCATGGCACCATGCTGCTTCCCGCCTCCTCCTCTTTCCTCCTCCTGAGAAATGCAGGGAAATTAAACAGCAGCAGCCTTCTACCAGGTCACAGACCCTTTCTTCCTCACCTCCCTCACTGCCCAGACTATTTTTCTTGCCACCCAGACCCCCCCTCCCGCTTTTTTAAAATTCCAAAACTTTATTTCCCTCCCACTGCTCAGGGGGTACTTTGATTGTGTTTTTCCTACTTGGCAGAAGGGGATTGGACTGGATGGCCCCTGGGATCTTCCACTGAAATATTATAAAGTTTATGCTGATGAAAATTGTTCTTCATTTGAAATATTGTATTGCTCTTTCCTGACCCTTTCCTGATATATTCCTGATACATTTTTGGGGGCTCCATGAGAAACTTTCACTTTAAAAAGTCTGTGTAGAATAGGTAATTTTTGTAAATAGTTAGACTTGCTAGGTTTGAAAATACTTTAAAAATGAATACATGTACTTAAGTATTTTCTGGAAAATAATAAAATACTTTTTTATATGTCTGGAAAATACTATAAACATTTTCTAGTATCATTGTTACAGTATAAATGTAATATTCTTGTCTTTTTGAATCCTCTCCAGATAATTTTTTGGACTTTATAGGGCCTATCCAAGATGCTGAACCTCTTTGGGAGGTGTGGAACCTTTGGGAAACAGGATCCCACAGTTCATATAGCATCTTTAAAGCTCAGTTTAAACCCTGGAACAAATACTCTGTAACAATGATATGGAACCCACCAACTATCAGGTTATGAAATATTTCCTCCTAATCCTCCTCCCCCTCCTTTTGTCCCTTGTATTATCATCTCCCTGACATATTTTCTTGTTTATATTTTCTTGTTTTTCTTGTCTCACCCCAATAGCTGTAATTTTTTAAAGTTTCCCAAACATCCATGGATCAGTGAAACATTCTGAAACTTGATGGGCTAAAGTGGTAAATGTGTTCTACCATTGTAGTAAGTCTCACCCCAATGGCTGTAAAAGTGAGGGAGAAAAGAGCCCCGGAAGTTTCCCCACTTGTGCAATTACTACAATGAAAAAATAACAAAACTTTATTACTCTCGTTATAGTAACAACATTTTCACTAACTATACTTTAGAAACACTTTAGAAATGAAACACCAATGCTCCTAATTTTGTAATGACTTTTGAAACAGGTTTAAATCAATCACACATGTCTATTCATTTGTAATTGCGATTGGGAATTGCGGACAACATTCCCAAGCTCTGAATCCCTCATGTCTCCATGCATCCATTAAAATGAGAGTGTAGTTAATAATGACTTGTAAATTTCAACAATTTCAGAGGGTGACTTTTAAGCATGAAAAGTTTAGATTCAACTCAAGGGGTGACCAGGGTTGCACTCCCCCTGAAGTCACACGTCCGCAGTCTTGGGGTCCTCCTGGATTCTTCACTTATGTTTGAGGCTCAGGCGTTGGTGGTGGCCGGGAGGGCCTTTGCACAACTAAGACTCGTGTGCCAACTGCGACCGTACCTTGGGAAGGCCAAGGTGGTCCACGCCTTAGTCACCTCTAGATTGGATTACTGCAATGCACTCTACATGGGGCTGCCCTTGAAAATGGCCTGGAAATTTCAGATGATCCAACCGGCGGAAGCCAGGTTGTTAACCGGGGTCCCTTACAGAGAGATGTCATCCCTCCTGTTTAAGGAGCTCCACTGGCTGCCTTTCATCTACCGGACCCAATTCAAGGTGCAGGTTCTTACCTACAAAACCCTGAATGGTTTGGGACCCGCCTACCTGCGTGACCACATCTCTGTATACGAACCCACACGATCTCTTCGATCATCCGGGGAGGCCCTGCTCTCGATCCCACCAGCATCGCAGGCGCGATTGGTGGGGACAAGAGACAGGGCCTTTTCGGTGGTGGCCCCTCGACTCTGGAACTCACTCCGTAAAGACATCAGACAGGCTCCAACTTTGGCCGTCTTCAGGAGGAAGTTGAAGACGTGGCTGTTCCAGTGTGCCTTCCTGGAATAATGATCCCATAGCACTTTGTCCTCCTAAGCACTTTAAATTTTCTAAGTCTGCTTGTATGCCCTTTCACAAACACCAGTATCACCTTCTGTTCATGTCCCAGCATATTTCCAATTTTAACTTTACATTTGGCCTCCCCTCTGTTTTTAATTGTGTGTTATTTTATTGATAATGTTATTTATCTTATTATCTATGTTTTTTAATTGCTTGTATTGTTGTTTTATTGCTTGTATTGTTGTTGTCTGGGCTCGGCCTCATGTAAGCCGCACTGAGTCCCTTGGGGAGATGGTAGCGGGGTACAAACAAAGTTAATAAATAATAAAAAATAATAAATAAATGTACTTATTTCAGTGTTAATTCCAATCCACATAGTACTGGGTGTGCAAGTCTATTAAAAAGGTGTTAAGCCTGTTTATGAGATCTTGAGGCCCGTTCCACTAATCAGCACCAGAAAAGGCAGTTTTCTGCAAGGAGATTTGGAAACTGGGCAGCTTTCTGGAATGTCTCTTCCTTTCCCTTTCTGCTCCCTGCTCGGTTCCCTCCAGGCTGTAGAGGAAGCACAGGGGATTTTCCCTTTGCAACACAAGCATACGAGATCTGGTGACATGATGTCAAGCTTTGCTCCAGTTCAACGAGTTGTAACTTTGGCAAAGCTGAAACTGTTCCCCCATTGATCCGATTCTCCCTGAAGATTGTTTGTGGAGGAAAGAACGTCATAAGTAACAAGAACAGCTTCATGTGTATTACAACCCCTAGGAACATTCTCAATTTATGTCTCTATAGAACGGTAAGTGTAGCCTACAAATGCATGACCACTGACCTCTAGCTTTTCCATGGCAAAATACAGACACCTCCTTGTACCACCTATCCATACGATTTGATCCACAACAACTTAGTTGGACTGAAACACCGTACTTGCGCAAAGCAGATTTTAATCATTGCACAGTTTTGTTGATAAAGGTTGGTTACATAATAATACTTAAAAACCACAAACAGATGAATACCACAATCATCACCAATAATGAATGATTATAATCCATCTTGTGAGAAAACCATTAACAGACTTCCTGACTTTGCGTGTCTGTATCAGAAAGGCATATTTAATCATTTCAGTTGCATTCCCAAGTATTCCATGATAATTCTGGAACTTGGAAAACTTAGCCACAAAATGATTTCTCTACTTCTATAGCTGCAGCTTTTTTTAAAAAAAAGCAATCCTTTGCTTTATCTCAAAAGAAACTGAATACTAATTTTCGTTGGTATAAAATATCTGACTAATGGTAGATTATGATTCTGTGATTTAATGTACAATCTTCCTCTGTCCACCCCATTGCTGTCTAAATGAAGCATGTAGTAACAAGTCATGTGTATTGGTGCCTTTAGACTTGACAGAAATTGTTTTACTTGAGCTGTGTTACTTGATATTTTGCTTCCATCAGTCTTATAGTTACTTCACAACTATAAGAGTAACTTATTGTTCTAATGACACCAACAAAAAGAGTGAAGTTATCTTTATTTAGCTTACAACCATAATGTAAATCAGTTATACCATTGTTATTAGCGAAAGAATTAACTACTTGTAATGTGTAACTTGTTACTTCCAGTCATTTTCAGGGTTTAAATTAGTGGTTCCCAACTTTTTTTGACCAGGGACTATTTGACCAGGGATCACTTTGACCAGAGACCCAACATTAATACCAAAAGGGTTACCAATCTGGTTTTGGTCAATTTTAGATTTGGTTTGGTTATTTGGGGTACTGATTCAGAAAATTGCATTGGATAGATCACAACAAAACATATACCATCCAGTAGTCACTATCTGCTCGCTTACAGAAAACCATATTTAATAATCTACGAGGGTTGAATGAAAAGTAATGCCTCCATCTTTGTAACTACTCAACAGATGGCAGTATTGGTATGCGGCAGGTACTGGCTCGTTCAGTACTCTCTCCTCTACAGTTCCATTTTGACGGGAAGCCTTAGCATTGAACGGTTGTGTTGTTAAAGTGCAAAGTATGGAACCCTGCACAGAAGGCTGGTCAATGAGACTTAAGCAACGTGCAGTCATTGAATTATTGATAGCAGAAGGTGTCACCTCAACATCTTTAAACTTACTCACCCAATGCATGTCTTATTGTTTTATTCTTTTGTTATTTTAAATTGCTTGTATTGTTATTGTTATTGCTTGTATTGCTGTATTTTGGGCTCGGCCACATGTAAGCCGCACCGTCCCTTGGGGAGATTTATTTATTTATTTATTTTCAGCTTTTATATTCCGCCCTTCTCACCCCACAGGGGACTCAGGGCGGATTACAGTGTACACATATATGGCAAACATTCAATGCCAATTTTGACATACAAACATATACAGACATACACAGAGGCTATTTAACTTTTTTCTGGCCGCCAGGGGAGCTGTCGCTTTCATCGTCCATCTGCGACGCTGATGAAGCACTATACCACATTCCCCGCATGCTTTTTGCTGGAGTGCTTACTGGAGTCTTTTTTTTTAATGGCCTCATAAATTAGTTAATTTAGCCTCCCCACACTTTAAGGTGGTATCTAATTTTTCTTCTTGACAGATGCAACTGTCTTTCGGGTTGCAAAGGTCAACAACAGGCTACACAATTGGTTGGAAACCCACTCCAACCCGTGCTGGCTTCGAACTCATGACCTTTTGGTCAGAGTGATCTTAATGCAGCTGACACTCAGCCAGCTGTGCCACAATCCCAGTGCAGAGATGGTAGCGGGGTATAAATAAAGTGCTGTTATTATTATTATTATTATTATTATTATTATTTCAACATCTTTACCAAAGATGCACAGTACTCACATCAACACAATCACCAGAAACAGTTTGCATTCTCTGATGAATCTCCTTTGGGGTGACACCTTCTGCTGTCAAGAATTCAATGACTGCATGTTGCTTAAGTCGCATTGACCGACCGTCTGCGCAGGATTCCATACTTCGCACTTTAACAACACAACAGTTGAATGTTAAGGCTTCCCGCCAAAATGGAACTATAGAGGAGAATCTACTGAACAAGCCAGTACCTGCCACATACCAGTACTACTATCTGTTGAGGAGTTGCGAAGGTGGAGGCATTACTTTTTATTCAACCCTTGTAGATCTGATGTGGTCTATTCAAGGTGGCGGGGCTGGTCAACGACAGTGAAGGAGTGGTAGGTGGGGTGAAAGGAGCAGAAATTATATAAATTAAATAAAGAGGAAGGTTGAAACATTCACACCTAGCTCCAGCAGACAAAAGTCCTTTGTCCCACCCTGGTCATTCCACAGATATATAAACCCATTTTCCTACTTCCAACAGACCTCACTACCTCTTTAGGATGCTTGCCATAGATGCAGGCGAAACGTCAGGAGAAAATGCCTCCAGAACATGGCCAGATAGCCCGGAAAAGCCTACAACAACCCAAAGAAGAAGGTGTCTCATGGACCAGATTTTCATGCTCACTCCCCACTGGTGGTCCATGGCCGACAGGTTAAGAACCACTGGCTTAAATAGTTTTGATGCTCTTGGCTTTTGTGAACTTCTTCACTTCCTTTAGCTACCAAACTCCATTACTGTATTTATTACAAATTATAGATACTGAAAAGAAATATTTCTTGCTTTTGATCCCGTCTGCTTCGCAAGCACGCTTGGCGGGGACGAGAGACAGGGCCTTCTCCGTGGTGGCCCCTCAGCTGTGGAACTCCCTGCCTAGGGATATTAGATCAGCCCCCCTCCCTCCTGACCTTTTGTAAGAGAGTGAAAACCTGGCTCTTCGAGCAGGCATGCGGAACCCCAGAATAGTCAAGCTTGAGATGGAGAATGACCCAGGAACGGCCAAGACAATGAAACGGATGAGGATTGGAATGAGAGGATAGAGCTCTTTTTAAATTGTTATTGCACTGTCTTTTTTGTCTAAATGCACTTAATTGTTTTTGCTTTTGTATTGTATTGATGCCATCGAATTGTGCCGATATGTAGACCGCCCTGAGTCGCCTGCGGGCTGATATGGGCGGGATACAAGTGATGTAAATAAATAAATAAATAATTGATGGCAGTACCCTCACATTTTCTTTAATGGTCAGAATGGCCCACTTGGGACCAACCTTATTATGTGAACTGTCTTGCTTAGACAGTTCATTTAAACCAATTCCCATTGTTTCTACTACTTGATTAATGTTGATTTCTCCTGGCAGGCTTAACCTACTGAATTTAAGATGTTATTCAACAAACTCTTATTTTGGTTGCTTTTAACTGCTGCACCTGTCTGTATTTTATTTCATATGATAACTTATGGGCTCTGTGATGTTATTGATTTACTGGCTGCTAGGTACCCTGAACAATGCAAACTGAAGAGGAAAAATGAATTTGAAGAGCAGCATATAAACTTTGTCATAAATACTGTACGGCATCCCAAATTGAGCTACCTTCAGTTTTTAATATAGGATTATTTAAAGCTGGGTGAAATACAGTCCTTAACAGTTGCAGTAAAACAGCTATGAGGAAAGTGCAGCCGGTAAGCTCTTCTGAGAATAAACAGCATTTTAAAGGGCATTGAACTATAACATATTTCTGTTTAGTTGGAATTATTACAATTCTTGTAATGTTTTTCATGTTTTAATTATATAAAGAAGGCATGGATCAAGTTTAACATACATTTTAATGGGCATTTAATATGAAGATAACGAATACTCCTTCAATTCTCAATTCTCATTATTAGGCAACAGACCTAATAATTCACAAATACAAAATGAGTGACAGATTTGAAAAAATGTACATTCAAGAGTTTGACATGTTCTGTTTTAACGGGAGAATCAACGCTGCACAATTATAACTTTATGGCTCAATCTCATGGGGTCCTGGGATTTGTATTTTCATAAGGTACGTACAGTTCTCTGCTGAAGATATCTAAAACTATAGGTCAGGGGAGTGACTACAAAATTCTAAGTATAGGCAGTCCCCAAGTTACAAGCACCCGACAACAGGAGACAATGGGAAGTGAGAGAAATCTACCCCTCGGAAGGGCAATTCAGTCCTGAAAGAGTTATAACGGGGAACAGAGTCTCAACTGAAGCTTTCTCACCAATCCTTGTTTCCAAAACAAGCCATTTTTTTCAAAATGCAATGGTAACAGAGACAGAAAGTGAGGCAAAATTTTCCGAACAAGGGAATAGATAGCAAACAAACCCTTCTCTATGCTATCCAAAGCTATATATATATATATATATATAATCTTGTTTGATCAAAAATATATGGCTTCTTTGATCAAAAATATATGGCTTGTTTGATTTAAAAAATGGTTCAAAACTTGTTTCGGATATACGGGGCGCCGGTGGTTCGATTCTAAAGTCAATTCGGATTTTCACAGAAAAAAATGTTCAAAACTTTTAGAAACTTCCTAAATTTTCGAATCTTTTCATTTGTGGGTTGAAAGTGTTATTTTCTGTTTCATTGGGTGGTCTTTACTTTGAAAGTAGTTGTTTTACTCCAGGAGCTAGGAAAAGCAAACAGAGGAAATTCTTTCCTTCTCCAGTTTAAAACTGCCTTCTCTGGTTTGAGCAAGAAGCGTGGAAAGCAAAAAGAGGAAATTCAGCCTTCCCCGGTTAAAAACTGACTTGAGCTGAGACCAGGGACTAGAATCATTTCTGACTTACTTCCTGAGTTGGAAGGAAAATGGCGATACTAGCTTCAGAAGGGCAAAGGGACTTCTGGTTTCCTAAAAAAGTTCAAAATTACTTCAAAAAAGGTATTTTTTCTGAATTTATTCCGAATTATGAAGATTCCGACTGGACCTAACCATGCCTAATATGTGTGTGTGTATGTGTGTGTGTGTGTGTGTGTGTGTATGTGTATGTGTGTATGTGTGTATGTGTGTGTGTATGTGTATATATATATATATATATATATATATATATATATCTCCTAGCTGTCCCCTGCCACGCATTGCTGTGGCCCAGTCTGTTAATCTGGAAAATAAAGTAATGAGAAAGTGTTGGTTTCTAATATATGTAATTTCTTTATGCTTGTGGGTAAGCAGTATTTCTTGCTGTTTTTTGTCAGTGTTCATGTGGAGAGTATCTGGTTTGCCTACCCTGGAACATGTAACATATCATTGTCCTTCTTTAAGGGCCCCTTTCAAATCTATGATACTATATCTGTGTATGTGTGAATCATATCTATCTATCATCTATCTATCTATCTATCTATCTATCTATCTATCTATCTATCTATCTATATCTATGGCTGGATGGCTCTTTGTCAGGAGGACATTGATTATGTTTTCTTGCCCCGGTGAAGGGAGTTGGATTAGATGGCCTTAAGTATTTTCTGTTGGTCATGGGGGTTCTGTGTGGGAAGTTTGCCCCGATTCTGTCGTTCGTGGGGTTCAGAATGCTCTTTGATTGTAGGTGAATTGTGAATCCCAGTGACTACAAATCCAAAATGTCAAGGTCTATTTTCCCCAAACTCCCATCTGTGTTCATATTTGGGCGTATTGAGTGCTTGTGCCAAGTTTGGTCAAGATCCATCATTGTTTGAGTCCACAGTGCTCTCTGGATGTAGGTGAACTACAACTCCCAAACTCAAGGTGAATGCCCACCAAACCCTTCCAGTATTTTCTGTTGGTCATGGGAGTTCTGTGTGCCAAGTTTGGTTCAATTCCATCATTGATAGAGTTCAGAATGCTCTTTGATTGTAGCCTAACTATAAATCCCAGCAACTACAACTCCCAAATGACAAAATCATAATTTTTTGAGTGATGGTCACTACTTGTGTTGTGAGATGTTTTGTTGCCATATTCGGTGTGATTTTGTTCATTGGTTCTTTTGTTTTTAAGGTACTCATTATGCACAGAGCATTTATATATATTTATAGATATATATATGGCTGGAGTTACACTTAAAGAATGTACCTGTTCTGATTTACAAACAAATACAACTTATGAACAAACTTACAGAACCTATCTTGTTTGTAACTTGGGGACTGCCTGTATTTTATCAAATGACAGGCCCCAAGATCCCATGTATGGAGGCATGGTAGTTAAAATGGGCTTTGACTATGATAATTGTGCAGTGTAGATACACCCAATATTTTACTTCCTTGTGTAATGATTTTGGAAATCCACTTGTCTTAGGATCTCAGCCAATGCAGTTTTCTCTCCATTTCTCTGTGCTGCTGGAATGGAGTCCCAAAGAGGCCATCACATGATGGAAGGCCACTTCTGGTGGTTGCCTGTGGGACTGAGTTGTGGCAGTGCAAGGAAATGGATGGAAGACTGCACTTTCAGTACTATGTGATTCTCAATGGGGAAGCTGGAGAAAAGCCGGGTAGAAGTGGAGAAAGGACGTAGGTTGACTGCCATCCCTGAACATGGAAAGACATGGAACCTGATGGTAGGGAATGAAAATAGATGGTTCCCTCCACTTTCCCTCGCTTTCCCCACTTTCATATCATGAGGTCCTTGGATTATTTCTTGTTCACAACAGAATATAAAAGGAGCCTTCATCTTTAGTGCAATCTGTGGACACTTTACCTTAATTGATCATTGGCATCTTGGAACTGTTGGCGAGCAAAGATAATGGCTGGGCTGGAATTGACTGGAAGAGCCAATCGGTTGTTGAGGTACATGTCATCTAGCCAGTAGTTTAAAACCTACAAAAATGGGTACAAAAGATTACATGGACTAACAATATAAGATGTGCCTTCTTTGCTTATTGGCATGCTCATTTCTGAATGAGGCATCTGCTGAAATGCAATTCCTTTGAGATATTTTTCATCACTGTAGAGGGAGCAGATGCTCAAATAAATAAACAAATAAATAATACTCACCTCCATACTCCCTGGAGTCTTATAGGCAAAACCTGCACTTGGGCAAAAGCCCAGTCCTGAATTAGACTCCCTCAGGCACAGATCTTCCTTTTGGCAGCTTTCTTTTAGCAACTAGAGCTTTCTCAAAGATGGGGAATCAAAACAGTCTGACAATTATTGCAGATTACTATGAATCGTTCTTCCTTTCCCATTTACCTAGGAATCTGCCAGCAAAATAGAATGATATTCATTCAACTGATTGCAAAATAATTTCCCCATAGGTAAGGATGGAAAGAACATGTGTTGTTATTTGTTCCAGTGTTAACAAAGTACTCAAGAAGAATAAGGGACTAAAGCACAATRTTCTCTCCATATTTGAATGTCCCGATTTGTGAGAGGGGAATTGTTCTATATAGAACATCGTTAACATATTGTCGAAGGCTTTCATGGCCGGAATCACTGGGTTGTTGTAGGTTTTTTCGGGCTATATGGCCATGTTTTAGAGGCATTTTCTCCTGATGTTTCGTCTGCATCTATGGCAAGCATCTTCAGAAGTAGTGACCTCACTACCTCTGAGGATGTTTGCCATAGGTGCAGGCGTAACATCAGGAGAAAATGCCTCTAGAACATGGCCATATAGCCCATAAAAACCTACAACAACCCAACATCTTTAACGTTGTTGCATGTCCTGTCATGCAACGATGAATAATTATGGCAATTTTCTCCTGATTTGTTTCTATGTAGAAAACAGTGTTTTGTGCAAAGCAAAACAACAACCACAAAGACATATGCTTTGCCATGTAGAACAACTCATCTGGAACATTTAAGGATGTTTGAATACAGGAGGAATACTGTGGAAGAATTTCACTTTTTTTCCCTACAGGCTTATTGGTGGGGCCACGGTTAGCTCAGTGGGTTAAACTGCCAGCTGCAGAAAATCTTGCTGACTGGAAGGTTAGCAGTTCAAGCCATGGGTGGGGTGAACTCTCACTGTCAGCCCTAGCTTCTGCTTACCTAGCAGTTGGAAAACAGCAATGTTAGTAGATATAAATAGGTACCGCTTTGGTAGTGAGGTAAAAGGCACCCCTGAAGACATGCCGACAATTGATCAGGAAGGCGTCCATGGACAACAGTGGAAAAACAATGGAACAACAGCACCTCCTCATGACCAAGTTCAGCACAGCCTCCAGATGCCAGACATGAAAAAGAGGGAAGCCTTGCCTCTGTCCATGTGTCATCTGTCTTTGTTAATTGTAAAACAGCATTGAATGGTTGCCATATATGTATTCTGTAACCCACTTTGGGTCCCCTCAGGCAGATAGAGCAGAATATAAATGAAGATTATTATTATTATTATTATTATTATTATTATTATTATTATTGGAAAATATTATAATGCTTGGTAAAATAAAAGGCAGTAGAAAAAGAGGGTGACTGGATGAAAAGTGGATTGATTCAGTCAAGGGTGCCATGATTGCCCTAAGTTTGCAAGACCTGAGTTGAGTAGATGGTGACTGGTGCTCTTTAAGGTCACTCATTCATAGGATTATTATGAACTGAACTTGACTTGATGGCAAACAACAACAATAATAACATGATATACATATGTTATATAACTAAAAAAATGTTCAAAGCTATATAAAAGATGTGTTGGAAATACAAATGACTGGAACGTTTTACCATTTGTGGTAGACTTGTCCAAAAGCTAAAAAATGCTGGATAAAAATTCATAGAGATGTGGAAACTATATTAAAGGGCAAAATGTCATTGAAACCAGAACTCTTCTTATTGGGATTATTAGGCAAACAGATACTGAAGCTTCAAGAAAGAATATTCGGTTATATGACAACAGCAGCAATAATTGAATATGCAAAACTATGGAAACAACAAAACACAACAAAATCAGAAGACTGAATTACAATTTTTTTTGAATTGGTCAAAATAACTTTAGAAAGAAAGAGGAATGGAATGTATAAAGAATCAGAAGAAAATGACCACAGCAGAATTTGTTGGCTAAAAATAATATTAATATTATATAGAAATAGTTTGTATTGTTTATATACTTCAAATTCAAGAGACTTTGGATAATTGATGTGTTAGTATCCTTTAATTAGAATAGACATGTTTGCAGGCTTTGCTATTGTGATATTTTAAAAAACCAAAGTCTGTGTAGTGTTCAAAAAAGAAGAAAGGATGACAATGTATCATAGTAAGCTCTCGCCTACACAATACTAACTTACTAACAAAGGAATTTAATTTTTTAGATTTAAATGGCAATAATTAAAATTAGATAAAGGATATTAAATAAACAGATAAGAATAATTAAGATGAGTGCTTAATGTAAAGCTCTGGAAGAGAAGACAGGAAGAACATGGCACAACATAAGAAGACATGACTGTCAGTTTTAACGTCAGATGAGAAGGCTACACTCTTTTTATTATAGAGGATATGTGGAATTTTCCTCTCCCTTGGTGACATAACAGTCATTTGTAAAGATCTAACTTATGAATAAGAACACCACTACCTTCATCCTCTTTTTTGTTTTTCTTTTCATTTTGTGTGAAAGAAAACTTGAAAATGCTCAATAAAAATTCATGAAACGACGATGACAGTAACAGCAACAGCAACAATAACAACAACAACAACAACAACAACAACAACAACAACAACAACAACAACAACAACATGGTCAGTGTGCTTGCGTTTTAAATATGGTGGTGCTCAAGTTCCTTAATTCATCTGGATTTTAAAACAAATAGAATCTTTCACAGACTAATGTATAATTGTGAATTCAGCTTTCACACTTTTCTGAATTGTTGTTGTTGTTGTTCATTCATTCAGTTGCTTCCGACTCTTCATGACTTCATGGACCAGCCCACGCCAGAGCTCCCTGTCGGCCATCGCCACCCCCAGCTCCTTCAAGGTCAATCCAGTCACTTCAAGGATGCCATGCATCCATCTTGCCCTTGGTTGGCCCCTCTTCCTTTTTCCTTCCATTCTCCCCAACATCATTGTCTTCTCTAAGCTTTCCTTTTTTTCTCATGATGTGGCCAAAGTACTTCATCTTGGCCTCTACTATTCTTCTCTCCAATGAGCAGTCAGGCTTTATTTCCTGAAGTATGGACTGGTTGGATCTTCTGGCAGTCCAAGGCACTTTCAGAACTTTCTTCCAGCACCACAGTTCAAGGGCATCTATCTTCCTTCGCTCAGCCTTCCTTCTGGTCCAGCTCTCACATCCATAGGTGACTATGGGGAATACCATTTCTTTAACTATGTGGATCTTGGTTGCCAGTGTGATATCGCTACTCCTCACAATTTTATCGAGATTGGTCATTGCTCTCTTCCCAAGAAGTAAGCGTCTCCTGATTTCCTGGCCGCTGTCTGCGCCTGCAGAAATACAAAGTCTGTCACTGCCTCCACGTTTTCTCCCTCTGTTTCCCAGTTGTCAATCATCAAAAATCTTGGTTTTTTATGTTTAGCTGCAACCCAGCTTTTGCGCTTTCTTCTTTCACCTTGATTAGAAGACTCCTCAGCTCCTCCTCGCTTTTGATAATTTTTGAATTATTTCAAAAAAGGAGCCAAATCCATGTGCAAATGTTTGTTTTAGGATGAAATCTATTTAGAACTTTAGACATTGGGAGAGAATATGCATTTTGGTGAGCAAATACATTCCAAAATCCACATTTCTATACTGCACAAACTTAGAGGTAGGTTTATTTATTATCAGATTACAACAGAAATGGGCTGAAACAGACGTATGAATGAGCACGTACAAAGTGGACACGGGCTGGAAGGAGACTGATCCATCCGACCCTAATTGGGTTCATTTAAATTCCACACAGGTCAAAACATGGTGACATTTCATGCATTTTGTAATGAGAACAATTTCTAAACCTGTCAAAGGGTTTATTATAATTCCAGTTGGCATACCATGATTCAGCACTAGCCTTACTATTTGGCTGAGAAGGGTGGCGGATGATGGATCTCATTCCTCTGGAACTCGGGGGGGGGGGCATCTTCTGGGTTTCTCAGAAAATGAAGGCTGATGTGTAGCATAGCCTTCCTTGCTCTCTCTAAGCTTGCCTGATACAGTAGTGGATGCTATTTGGCAGAAACAGGGGACTTCTCCATTGAGAACTTCCTCCCTATGGAAGCTAATATGGCTTCTACTTCATTGTCCTCCATCTGGGAAATAAAAACTTTCCCATTCTGAAAGTCTTTCAGAAATTGGATGCAACAAACTTTGAATTATTTGCTGTCTTGCTATTTTTTTCTTACTATTTTTCTTCTTTTAATGGATTTTAATTATATACATGGTTTAATTGCATTTTTTTAAAATATAGTTTTACTTACATCTTTGTAAATATTTTAATCTGCATTTGTTTTGATAATTTTTAAGTTGTCTTGAACCCAAGTCTTCCAAAAAGTAATTAATAATGTCATCTCATTGCAGCTAAAAAAAGATTCAACCACTATTTTGAATTTGTCCTAGGTAGTGCTATTCTTTTTCCTTCACCTTAGGTAATAGGGCTGGGCGGTTTCGTTTCGTTAATTCGTAATTCATTAATAATTCGTTAATTTTTTCAATTACAAAACGATAACGAACTTTCAAAAACGTTTTGTAAATGCTTCGTATTTTGATATTGTATTCGTTTCGTTATTGTTTTGAGGTCGTTTCGTTATTATTTCCGCATGTCTGGGCCAGTTTTATGGTTTAATTAGTGAAAAAAAATTATAATATCACACCAACAGTCAACAACAGAGGGAGAGGGAAGCTTCAGAAGGTTTTGGAGGTTTTTTAGCGTATTTCGCGGTCGCGTCCGCCATTAACGAATCGATTCGTTATTGTTTCGGAAATCGATTCGTTAATTTTTTTTACCATTTACGAAATTTCGTAAATATCGAACTTTTTAAAAGGAAAATTTTGTAATTATTTTAAATATCGAAACAAAAAAAACCCCCAAATACAAATCGATTTTAGAAACAAATTTTTCCGTTGTTACCCAGGCCTATATAACGCACTCTAGAGGAGATATTATTTATTTTATTTATCGTGTCATCCGCAACCAGAACATTGTATTACATTTCTAACAGAACAAAACAACAAACATATTTTAAAAAAAAAAGACACAAATTTTGCAAACTTGGTAGATGATTAAATGTCCTTTGACCAGTATCTGGCCACTTGGAGTGCCTCTGGTGTTGCCGCAAGAAGGTCCTCCATTGTGCATGTGGCAGGGCTCAGGTTGCATTGCAGCAGGTGGTCAGTGGTTTGCTCTTCTCCACACTCGCATGTCGTGGATTCCACTTTGTAGCCCCATTTCTTAAGATTGGCTCTGCATCTCGTGGTGCCAGAGCGCAGTCTGTTCAGCGCCTTCCAAGTCGCCCAGTCTTCTGTGTGCCCAGGGGGGAGTCTCTCATCTGGTATCACCCATGGATTGAGGTGCTGGGTTTGAGCCTGCCACTTTTGGACTCTCGCTTGCTGAGGTGTTCCAGCGAGTGTCTCTGTAGATCTAAGAAAACTATTTCTTGATTTAAGTCGTTGACGTGCTGGCTGATACCCAAACAAGGGATGAGCTGGAGATGTCTCTGCCTTGGTCCTTTCACTATTGGCTGCAACTCCCCAGCGGATGTCAGGTGGTGCAATATCGGCTAAGCAGTGTAATTTCTCCAGTGGTGTAGGGCGCAGACACCCCGTGATAATGCTGCATGTCTCATTAAGAGCCAGATCCACTGTTTTAGTGTGGTGAGATGTGTTCCACACTGGGCATGCGTAGCAGCAAAGTAGCATAGCGCAAGGGCAGATGTCTTCACTGTATCTGGTTGTGATCCCCAGGTTGTGCCAGTCAGCTTTCGTATGATATTGTTTCTAGCACCCACTTTTTGTTTGATGTTCAGGCAGTGCTTCTTGTAGGTCAGAGAACGGTCCAGAGTGACTCCCAGAATCTCCTAGAATGATACTTTCCAACAGCTAAGATGTATGATGATGGGATGATAGGTATGTCCCAATCCAGCAAATGAGATGCATGCATATAGCCATCTCGACGACGATATGAATCATAAAATCAAACTTGGCCTTCCCTCATAATACAAGAGCAAATAAATTGTATATAGGAATAGAGATGAAGATGTACTTTACCTCCAAGTATTCCCTAAAATGGAAATGAATAGAATCTGGATTTCCAACTCTTTGAATGTTGACTTTTTTGTACAGATTTACCCATTCCACTTGTTCAGTATACCTGGGAGGCTCTTGGTTAACTCCAAAACATTTTTGTTCTCAGTCATACCGTGATCGTGGCAAATCTGGTGTGGGACATGGGGAATTAGTCACATCACCCTCAACCTCATTCCATGGGAGGAAGCGTCGCTGCCCAGCTCCCCCCACCATTATTGTCTATGCAATACAGAAAGCCTTCCATGTTGCTGCTGTTGACTCCTGCTAAACTTGGACCTATCTTGAGGCACAGAGGGCCCCCCCCCCCCCGCCCCAGAAGTAGATTGATGTCATGTGATGGGATCGAGAAGGCTCAGTGCCTGAAGAGAAGTCCAAGTGTCATAGGATGGGCAATTTTGCCCGTCTGATGAAGTCCTTAGTGTGATAATGTATGATATCAGAGCATCTTAGTCAATCCTGGGAACTGGGTGGGAGGAATACAAGCAGCCAGAGCTTGTGTAGGCCTTTTTCATATATTTTGTGATGAAACTATTTGAAACTAAGTAGCATTGGACTTACCCAGTTTTTCATTTTGTCCCGCCTTTCTAGAAGCTTTTGCTGAAGGACTTCTCCTGGACCTCCTGCTGCTCCAAATCGTTCTACTATGACCTCTGTCTTCTTATATTGCTCCTCTGGCACCAAATGTTTCATGCACTGAAGGTACATGTGCAGGGTCTGTTGCAGTGGTGGGACTGGAAGTTTGGGAAGTACCTAATTTGGATGCAAAAGCAAACATCTGATCAAAAATGCCTTGTGCTATTGATATTGTTTATACGACTTTACTGGATGTCGTACATTTTAAATAACTGTGGCATAATCTCCACCCATGCAAAAAAGCGGGGGCAGGGTTACATGAGAAATATGAATTCTAAAAAGTGATAGTGGATTGTTTGATGTGTGTTCTTGAAGAGATGAAATCAACTACAGTGAGCAGGATTCAGTCAGGAAATAGGATGTCCTCCTTCCCCTCCTGCTGTATCTCTTCCCAGAAGTATTCAGAGCAGCCTTGGAAGGCATGTAGATGGAAGGTGAATCTATTCTGTTGGTGACAACCACTCAACCATGGGCTAAGCAGCACTGGAAGGACCACAACAGTAAGTCTTCCAGTTTTGGAAGGATAAGAGGCATAGGATTGCTGTGGAAGTGGGAAAACTATAGTTTTAAATGCTTTAAAAAAACAGGGAGAATACTTCTCTAGGAATACCTAGGTCTTCCAGGGCAACTTGAGGACACATGGACAACTTGGAATACCTACAGATTCTTAGAGAAAACATATTAACCAAATCTGAAAATAATCAAATAATGCAAAAGTTAAACACATAACCACTACCATCCCGGTCACTGCAGAGGCAGGAGGGTGTCCTGATTGTCCCATGGCACCAAACCCAGTTCAGCACTGCTGGGTAACCAATCTTATGATCCTCTCCTCTTCTTGTTGTGGCAGCTAGTGACAGGAGTAATGTTGACAAGGGTATCATAGTGACAGGGGAGGAAGGAGGGGGAGAGGAGGAATCATACCCTTTCCCTCTCCTTTTTCCATTGCTCATTGCTCCAGCTAATACCACTCCACCCACTAGCTGCCGCAATAAGGAGAACAGAAGAGGATGGTGAGTGCCATTCCCATGTTCTTGGTCCGCCCAAGCCTGGGGAATATGTGATGCCAATAAAGAGTTGTGGTGAGTTCCATCTCAGAACCAACCCCACTGTTTACATGGGCCCAAACCGGTTTGTTCAGAGTCCGGTGGAGCATTCAGAGCTACCGACAACTTCGGTTAACATGGTTCAAGGGTTAACATGGTTAAGCAGCTTTGGCCCGTGTTAACCAGATCAACTCCATGCATTGTTAAGCCATAACAGAGCTGATTTGCTGGCTTTTCACACCAAGTGGTCAGTATAAATGTGCTCTTTGTTTTGATCCATTCCTGATACTGATGGTTTTGCCTCTCCACATGTGGTATGTCGTATTTCTGGGTGCAAACTTAGTTGTATTTAGGGTTGTATTTACAATTATGATATTGGCATGAAGAATGATGAAGGCCCATCTCCCATGTGATGCTTATCATAGAAATTATTTCATATTGAACACCCAACTCTGAAGTTATTTTCCAAAAACAAACACTCACTATCTCATCTTGGCTGTGAACCTCTTTCTCTTTCTTCTCTGTGACTTTCTCTAGGATTGGCATCTTTCTGTCAGCTTTCTTCTGTCTGATGGAGAGTAAAAATGAACAACACTTGCAGATGATTGCAGTGTCACACACTTTAGATCTAGAGAAAACAGTTGGGAGAGACACAGAAATAAACCATGTTGAAAAGTGGCTTTAGAAAGTTTACCACAATATTTTCATATGAGAACTCAGAGGAATTACACAAATGCTTACGGAAAGAATGGGATTGATGAGAAAATGGTAATTGTGGCTAGCTTTAGTATACAAATTTTGGTTCTAGGTGGGAGACAAACACAACACTAATATAAGCTTTTCCAAATAGTGCATTAGGTGAAATACTGCTCTTGCCTGCATTATTTTTTCCAGTTGTTTTCTGCCTTTTGCATATGTTTATGTGATCAGATCTTTGATGTGTAAGGGTATTATTTTACTACTGATACTACTGTTGCTGATGGAGATGATGAGGGGAAAAAAAAGAAAACTACGTGCTTTTAAGTTTAAACTGGTGGCATAAATAGAAGAACACTATTGAATCCATAGGTTCTCAAATACTGTTTCAGATATACTTGAGTTTCAAAACTTCTTAGAGGACTTCTCCCTGATCCACTCCACCAGTGCTACACATCATTTAATGTTGTGGATACTCTATGCCCAGTGCAACATTGTATTCCACTGCAGGCCTGGAAACACCTATGACCACTGCACCAAACAAGAGTCCAGGAATATGAGTGAACAGTTTATTGTAAAACACATAAAAAACATATTAAAAAGCAGCAATAAGAAAGGAAGATATATAATACAAAAAAGTTTAACAACAGGTGCTAACCAAACAATAATCCAAATGTCCCATAAAGTTTCAGAGGTGACAAAGTCCAGGAACAATCAGAAATCACAGGTACAGCATAAGTCCATAAGCAAGAAAGTATTACTAGGAAAAACTTGAACAGGAGTACATGAACAGGAACATAGAAAACTTCCAGGATATACTGTATATACTCGAGTATAAGCCTAGTTTTCGGTCCTTTTTTTAGGCTGAAAAATTCTCCCCCGGCTTATACTCAAATCAATGTTATTTATTATTTTACTTTGTTGTTGTTGTTGTTATTATTACATGTGTTATTTTATTATTGTTGTTGTTATTATTATTATATTTATTCTTTTACTCTATTTATTATTGTTATTGTTACATTTATTATTTTACTGTATTATTATTACATTTATTATTTTACTGTATTATTACTGTTATTATTACATTCCATTATTTTACTCTATTATGATGATGATGATTTTACTCTATTTATTATTATTGGAGGACATGTAAGCATATTTACATTGAATAAGGTTAGAATAATGGTTAATCAGAGTTGGACAGTCTTATCCTGAATTACAGTTTTATGTAAATATTCAAAAACATTTAACCTACTGATGCCTAAATTAATATAACTTTATTGGTATCTATTTTTATTTTGAAATTTACTAGTAGTTGCTGCATTTCCCACCCTTGGCTTATACTCGAGTCAATACATTTTCCCAGGTTTTTGTGGTAAAATTAGGTGCTTTGGCTTATATTCGGGTCGGCTTATACTCGAGTATATACGGTATTCAATCCAAAACCAAGGGTTGACTTGAACCAGGATCAAGAGAACCCAGAAGCTAACTTCTCACTCTAACGCAGCATTGCCTGAACTGCCCTTAAGGCAAACAATTCACAGGAGACATAATACTTTCATGGGTGTCTATTAAACAACAACAACTTGTTGTTTAATAGACACCCGTGAAAGTATTATGTCTCCTGTGAATTTTCTCCACAACTTTCCCATGTAATCTCACTGAATAGTGCAATATATTTTCGGCTCTAATTTGTAAATTAAGACTTGACATCTGCAGCTACAGATGGCTGCTCCTGGGAATGCCTTATTACTCAGCTCTTCACTCAGTTCTTTATCTTTTGTTCCTACTTCTGGCTCCCTTGGCTGGCCTTGAGGCCCTGCACATTCTGAGCTAGTTTTCTCACAGAGAGAATAATCATTTCCCAGACCTGAATTTCCCAGTGTTAAGGGCCCATCACTTTGTGCCACAGGAAAGCTCACAATCCTCTCTAAATCATCAGTTGAACCATCAGTCTCTGGCTGATCTACAACACATTACACTTAATGCAACAGTTACTGTTGCTTTGAGTATATTGCTATTACCAGCCAACCGCACTTATATGTATGCACAATGTACCTAAATCTGGCAGGCACAGAAACTGGGCAAACCTACAGCTATTACTGAACAGAAAGTCCCAGCATTTCTTGCCATGAGCGACGTGGACCAGAGCTGACAAGAACTGCAGCTCCCACACCTGACCTGAGCTATATCCAATGTCAATTGAGTACATCTCCAATTATATGAGGAAAAGGAAAACATGATTGCTCTCTCTCTCTCTCTCTCCTTAAATGTTGTGAGGATGATATTACGGTGGCTGTACTTGAGTTATTGTGACAACACAGTTTTCAGAACTTAAAGAAAGTAGTAGAATGAACAAATTGTGAATTAATGAAATGAGAGGAACATGTGTTGCACATTGTAAATGGTGATGCCACAAGCACCATTCCATTTCTCGGGAAACAACAGGATCCCACAGAATGAACACTTGTATAAAGAGAGTGCTGGAGAGCAGGATTAAAATTTCTTAATTGCTCTCAAATGAATAATGTGTGGTTACTTTTGCCATGGAGCTCATTATTCGGAGGCGGAGAATGCAACCCTAGCAAGCACATTTTAATCAGCTATTTGCTCTGGATGCGGAAATGGATATAATAAGGTGAAAGGTTAATGCATCAAGTAAAAAGCTCCCATCCACTCCTTGTATGGTTTTCCCCCCTGATATCCATTATACTTTATGCCAACATAAATTTTTTAAAAATGCACAAAGTAAGCTGGAAGCTGAGCAGCATGGGATTGCAATTCTATTAATAAAAATTCCCTCATATCACATTACTGATTTTTCCCTTTGCTACTTGACTTAACCACCTTTTCCTCATAATTCACTATAATGTTTTCCTTGTTTTGCATACTTTATGAAAGGATGAATCTACACTGTGAATTAATGTCACTTGACACCACTTTAACTGCCATGGGATTGTGAGTGTTGTAGTTTTAGAAGGACTGCAGCTCTCTGCCAAAGTGCTGGTGTTGCACCAGACTTCAACTCCCAGGATCCAATAGTATTGAACTGTGGCAGTTAAAGTGGTGGGTTGTTGTAGGTTTTCCAGGCTATATAGCCATGTTCTAGAGGCATTTTCTCCTGACTTTCGCCTGCATCTATAGCATCCTCAGAGACTCACTACCTCTGAGGATGCTTGCCATAGATGCAGGCGAAACGTCAGGAGAAAATGCCTCTAGAACATGACCATATAGCCTGAAAAAAACCTCCAACAACCCAGTGATTCTGGCCATGAAAGCCTTCGACAATATGTTATGATTCCGGTCATGAAAGCATTTGACAATACAGTTAAAGTGGTGTTGAACAGCATTAATTCCAGTGTGGAACACATCTCACCACACTAAAACAGTAGATGTGGCTCTTAATGAGACATGCCGCATTATCACGGGGTGTCTGCGCCCTACACCACTGGAGAAATTACACTGCTTAGCCGGTATCACCACCTGACATCCGCCGGGAAGTAGCAGCCAATAGTGAAAGGACCAAGGCAGAGACATCTCCAGCTCATCCCCGGTTTGGGTATCAGCCAGCACGTCGCCAGGGGGAGGGGGCTCGAGGGGCTTCACCCCCCCCCCCCAAAATTCTCATGGTGGTTCGCGAAAAGGCCTTACTGGTGCATTATTTAAACTGTTATGTTTATTCATATCATGATCTGATCACCATACTCAATATATCCCATATGCATGGGGGTATTGGGGTAATGATACAAAAGGTTTGCTAGGCTAGACCCTCTTTCACTCAGACTCAGCCCCCCCCCCCCCGAAACTCAGCCCCCCCCAAACCCCCCCTGAAAAAAATTCAGCCCCCCCCCCAAAACGAAATTCTGGCTACGAGCCTGTCTCCAACTCATCCCCTGTTTGGGTATCAGCCAGCACGTCAATGACTTAAATCTAGAAATAGTTTTCTAAGATCTACAGAGACACTCGCTGGAACACCTCAGCAAGCGAGAGTCCAAAAGTGGCAGGCTCAAACCCAGAACCTCAATCAATGGCTGATACCAAATGAGAGACTCCCCCTGGGCACACAGAAAACTGGGTGACTTGGAAGGCGCTGAACAGACTGTGCTCTGGCACCACGAGATGCAGAGCCAACCTTAAGAAATGGGGCTACAAAGTGGAATCCACGACATGCGAGTGTGGAGAAGAGCAAACCACTGACCACCTGCTGCAATGCACCCTGAGCCCTGCCACATGCACAATGGAGGACCTTCTTGCAGCAACACCAGAGGCACTCCAAGTGGCCAGATACTGGTCAAAGGACATTTAATCAACTACCAAACTTGCAAATTTTGTATTTTGTCTGTTTATTTGTTTTGTTCTGTTAGAAATGTAATACAATTGACTGGTTGCCCTGACATGACAAATAAAATAAATTCGGAAGTACCAGTTCATTCCTATCCATTTTAAATAGATCGAAGGATGTCTGGACAGGAAGTGGACCATTTAGTGGTGGCTGGTGACTCCCATGTCATTGGTATAGGGAACCTGCACTTGAAAAGCGCTATACAAGATGCTGAATTTGTTTTGTATATATGGCAGAGTAGCTTGGTTAGCCTCTTAATGGTTTGAACTAAAAACCCAATATGAATTCACTGTTCCAATGATATTGAAGCCTCCTCCCAGGATCCTTTCAAAGGTCTATATAACATTTGGAACCTGGCTGGAATTCTCTTTTTCATATCCACAGTAGTCCATTCCGTTTCTCATTTATTTAATAGGACTGAGGCAATGAGAATGATTAGATCAGGGGTCCTCAAATTAATGCCCAAGGGCTGGATACGGCCTTCCAAGGTCATTTACCCGGCCCTCATTCAGGGTCAACCTAAGTCTGAAATTACTTGAAAGCACATAACAACAACAATCCTATCTCATCAGCCAAAAGCAGGCCCACAC